AACTCGTTACAGAAAGCAACCATAACATAAGGGAGCATAACCCTGCATTTGTATGCTCTGTATCCACGGAAAGAATTAAGATACTCAAAACCTTTTTTACTGAGCTATAAGTGTACCAGCGAGCCTTTTTTATTACTCTCAGCACCACTACATTATGAAGAGCATGCTGAAGCTGACATATATTTCCGACTGTCATGCACAGCTTACAGAGCCAACTACTTAATGCCTCCAGTCAACCACAAATAAAGGGGTCGCATCATCTCAAAATGACCACTCCTTCTGAAAAGTGGTCGTTTCACAGCAGAACAGCTAAAGAGTGAAGGGGTCACATCATCTCACTGCGACCACTAATTTAATATGCTTCTTCCTCAGCAGTTTACTAATAAACCTCCAGAAATAGAGGGAGAGTAACCAAAATTAAGGGGTCGCATCATTTCACCCCAACTACTTCTTCAGTAAGCTACTGCTAACACTTCAAGAATATGTAGGGAGAGCAACCGAAAATGAGGGGTCGCATCAAGTCACCGCGACCAACCTTGCTAAATGGATGTCTCTCAGGAGAGTAAAAAGTGAAGGGGATCTCCTCGAGAAGCAAGCACACTCACAAATCCACTTTACTCTGTGAGCTGCAGAGGGCAACAGAGCTGTTTAAGCGTCCATGGTGTGCAGAGCCCCACTGGCCTGACCCACCACCACATATGCCTTGCCATGAGCCGGGAGGCCCATGTGCAATCCCTCGATTGAAGCCGCCACACAGCCTCATCAGCACAGGGCCTGAACCATGAGGTGCAGATATTTCACTCTCATCTCTCAAGAAAAGAGACAAGCGAGAGTGGAGCTCCTTCATCACAGTGAGTGGATTTTGCTGCCTTAAAAGCTAAACGCACTAGCTCCATTCCCATGGGCAAGGAGGGAGCCTTCAAAGAGGATGCAGTGCCAGGGGAGAGGTATCTCACAAGCAACTCTTCAACCCAGTGCAAATCTAATTCCTCAGAACTAGACACGCCACATAATATGCTCTGAGCCAGGTTGGAAGTGGCCACAGAACAGGCTTCCTAAGCCGACATGAGAGCAATGGGTTTAATAAATCTCCATTTTGTGTTGTAAACATTTTTTAGAGACTTGCCCCCCAAAAAATTGGCTATCAGGAGAATTCCAAAAAAGAGAGTCCTCTTGTCAGACTCCTCCCCCAACTCCTCCTACAATCCACCGTATCGACCCCATGTTGTTGCCTTGGCAGCCACGAGACTCGAACTGCGAAGTGCAGACGCTTGACTCTCATCTCTCAAGAGAGAGTCAAGCATAAGTGGAGCTTCCCACAGCGAGCGTGAGAGCCGAATTCATTCGGTGAAAACACTTGATTCTCATCGCTCTACAGTTGTAGAGCCTACAGGTGAAGGCAAATTCAGTCCAGCAAGCTCGGTTCAGTCTGGACTAGTCCGGTCCAGAGTTTAGCTCCAGTCCAAGCGGCTCTCAATGACTGAACTTGCAAATGCATCGCTATGAGTGCATCCAACTCCCTCAAGAGTCAAATGTGCTCCTTGCAGATGCAAGATTCTAACCTTTGAGAGAGAATCAAGTAAGAACAAATGAAATGTATTTACATTGAACAAAAGGAACTTAAAACAAAACAATAATACTAGAATAACTTAAGTTGTTAAAAGTAGAGTCCGTTTTTCACCACACCATAAAACAGTCCATAAGAAACCACCCTAGAGTATTGCCAGTCCCTATGTGTAAGTGTCCACCGGTGTATATGCAATCCAACTGTAGTGATAATCCAATAAAGAGTTATGTGGTTTGCTGGAAAGTTAAGTCTTTAAAAGTAACTCTTCAATCCAGCTTTTTGGTGATCACCATTTGGTTGTTGGGTTAGCAAACCCGTTTGTTGGACATGCTGCCTCCTTTATGCAGTCCACAACCTATCATTTATATACCCAAGATCAATTAAAGACATACACATACAAAAAAAGATAAGAGGAAAAAAATGGCTAAGACAACATGTACCCCAATTAAAACTCCAATATATATATAAAAGCACTATAATATATTGAGCAAGTAAAACATGTGTCCTGTGTGTGTGATATCCAGGCCTGGATAAGTTCCCATGACGCAACGTTGATTTCCCTAGAAACGGAACTTTCTGCATTTTTACATTTTCAAAAAGCATAATTTATTATCACGTATAAGCTGTTTTAAATCAAAAGTTTAAAAGTTATGTTATCTGAACAATTTTTCAAGCTGATGAATGATAAAAAACATTGACAGCCAATCAGAATCCATTCAACTTTAAAGAGATCGAACATTGTAAGTGGCAGCGCATGCTTATAATAAACATAATGTTATCGTTTGTTGGTGTGGACGCTAATTTAATTATCGCTATAGTTTTCTTTATAGGTATAATAATAGTTATCATCTGTTAGTGTGGATGGTATAATAGTTATTATTATAGCTATAATTACAGTTATCGTTATAGTTATTGGTATAGTCATTGTTATAGTAATTGTTCATTGGTGTGGACATTCATTTAGTCATCGTAGTTATTGTTATATTGTTATATGTGGACGCTATAGTTATCTTTATAGATATTGTTCTTTGTGTGAATTGGCCTTTACTCTTAAAATATACACACAGTGATGTGTTGTACCAGTGATGTATATACAGAGAGATTGTTGTCATCAGTACTGCTGACCAAAGTGAACTACTAAACACACCGCAAATGTCCTGTTGTGGACAAACCCAACACACACACACACTCTCTGAGTTACACCACAGAAGCATTATAAAGTGAACTGCTCATAATAGCACTTCCCAGAGGAGAGCGAGGCCACGACACACAAACACAAACACACTCCTCTCTAATATGATGCTTCAACATTTGCACAGAAAATAAGAGTGGTATGAAGAGACAGAGACAAAGGGGAGGGACAGGAAAAAGCAAGGATGAAAGGAAAATATGCAAGTTGTATAACGTCAGTCTTAGGCTGCCCTCAGTTATTGCCCATTGTCTTTTCTTTCTCTCCTGAAATTAAACCAGTGTTTGTGCTTCAGTGATGCACAGAAAGGGCCATCTGTCATCCTCAGCCATCAATACTGCAGAGATAACCAATATTCCAATATAAAATCTGATAAACTATAGGACCAATATCACATATACACTCACCGGCCACTTTATTAGGTACCCCATGCTAGTAACGGGTTGGACCCCCTTTTGCCTTCAGAACTGCCTCAATTCTTCGTGGCATAGATTCAACAAGGTGCTGGAAGCATTCCTCAGGGAGTTTGGTCCATATTGACATGATGGCATCACACAGTTGCCGCAGATTTGTCGGCTGCACATCCATGATGCGAATCTCCCGTTCCACCACATCCCAAAGATGCTCTATTGGGTTGAGATCTGGTGACTGTGGAGGCCATTTTAGTACAGTGAACTCATTGTCATGTTCAAGAAACCAATTTGAAATGATTAGAGCTTTGTGACATGGTGGAAGTAGCCATCAGAGGATGGGTACATGGTGGCCATAAAGGGATGGACATGGTCAGAAACAATGCTCAGGTAGGCCGTGGCATTTAAACGATGCCCAATTGGCACTAAGGGGCCTAAAGTGTGCCAGGAAAACATCCCCCACACCATTACACCACCACCACCAGCCTGCACAGTGGTAACAAGGCATGATGGTTCCATGTTCTCATTCTGTTTACGCCAAATTCTGACTCTAACATCTGAATGTCTCAACAGAAATCGAGACTCATCAGACCAGGCAGCATTTTTCCAGTCTTCAACTGTTCAATTTTGGTGAGCTCTTGCAAATTGTAGCCTCTTTTTCCTATTTGTAGTGGAGATGAGTGGTACCCGGTGGAGTCTTCTGCTGTTGTAGCCCATCCGCCTCAAGGTTGTGCGTGTTGTGGCTTCACAAATGCTTTGCTGCATACCTCGGTTGTAACGAGTGGTTATTTCAGTCACTGTTGCCCTTCTATCAGCTCGAACCAGTCTGGGCATTCTCCTCTGACCTCTGGCATCAACAAGGCATTTCCGCCCACAGAACTGCCGCTCACTGGATGTTTTTTCTTTTTCGGACCATTCTCTGTAAACCCTAGAGATGGTTGTGCGTGAAAATCCCAGTAGATTAGCAGTTTCTGAAATACTCAGACCAGCCCTTCTGGCACCAACAATCATGCCAGGTTCAAAGTCACTCAAATCAACTTTCTTCCCCATACTGATGCTCGGTTTGAACTGCAGGAGATTGTCTTGACCATGTCTACATGCCTAAATGCACTGAGTTGCCGCCATGTGATTGGCTGCTTAGAAATTAAGTGTTAACGAGCAGTTGGACAGGTGTACCTAATAAAGTGGCCGGTGAGTGTATTATTTAATATCACATATATTTTGAGTTGGAGTGGATAATAGGACAGAGATGAAAAAACATGCTTATTCAAAAGGGAAAACAAAAACAAAAAAAAAGAATAGGGGGAGAGGGACAGAGTTTGAGAAATGACTAGAACGGTAACAACAGGGGGAAGAGACCAAAGAAAAAGAAAAAATTATGTAACTATCCACACAAAGACTGTCAGAGGGAAGGACTGACAGCAGAAGGAGGCGGAGAGCGAGAAGATTGTTGGAGTGATCTTCAACGAAAGGTCAGCTTGGTGTCACGCTGGTAATAGGATTAATTACTGTATTTGCACCTCACCAACCCTCCATCCCACTGTGATTACTCTCCAATCCCGTTCTGTGACAAACAGCCACCCTCTGCTCTGCTCTGCACCATGTTTACATTTTAATGCTATATTTCTGAGAGTCTGCAGCTTGAAAAGGTGTGGGGAATAATCCAAATAATCTCCATGGCTACATACAGCTCGTCATAATCCAGATGGCACACAAACACACATACTCAGAGATGGCAGAACATGAAAGGGGATAAAACACTGCAAGACCCCTGTCATGCCCTCTACACACACACACACACACACACACAGAGAGAGAGAGAGAAAGGACTTACCCCTGGCAGGGTTTTCTGTTCATGAAGAGCACTTTGTGCTTTAACGGCTGACTCCCGTGCACAATACGTCAGAAAGGCACATCCTAAAACAGAAAGACAGACTGTTACTATTTATTGACAGTTTATATTTGCAAAATAAAATTAGCAAAATAAACATCATTTTCATTCATGCAAAATTATTATTATTATTATTGTTGTTGTTATCAATCATATTAATATATTATTAATTATATTAATTTATTATAAGCAATGACCTTGAATTTGAAATTGAAATTCAGTTTCGAATCAACTTTTTATTTCATTCTGTACTTTTTATAGAATCATAAATATTCAGCATCATTACACATGAGGAGTGACAGGAATGTAATTTCACACTCATTACATTTTCCCAGTGAGCCTTCTGGGATAGCTTACCACACACACACACACACACACAAAGCTACAAAGAAAGCAGGCAGCAGCAGCTTATGTCTCCATTTCTCTGATTGAAAACCTGACGTATAGAGTAGTGGAGTATATAAGCGCATGCAAACATGAGCAGCGCACCAATTCTGGTGAACCCTACATTACACAGTATCCGAAATCCTGGTCTCTGTGGGGACATGTGATGTTTTCTGATGAGTAATTTTGTTTTTGCGTTTTTAACATTTTTATTACTTTCTGTTTTTTTTAATAAATGTTTGTTTTTAATTTTATTTTAGTACTTCATCTTAAACTAAATGTAACTGTACAAAACGGTTTTCAACACACTTAAAGACCCACTCCGATGAAAATAATGTTTTTCTAGGTGTTAATATGTTCTTGTGGCATTTTTCTGATGTTAGAGGACATATCTTGAGAAAAATAAGCTCAAAGTTGTATTTCTGAGTATTTCTACATTCAAATGGCTGTGAATCAGTAGCAGACGCTAAAATGCCGGCTAAAATAGACTGGAGTTGTGACGTAGTAACTCCACTGGGCGTCTCCACACGCGACGTCTTGGAGTGAAATAATGATCGGTGATCGGTGATAACTTTGATTAACTTCGGATAATAATAATTAACGTGTATATAATACTGTTGCCCCACCGGTATTGGGGGTGTAAGCTAGCGGGAGAGACAGAGCTCTCAGCAACGGGCAGGGGGAGGGTCGTCTCTGTGCCAACGGCTCCGCCCACAACGCCGAGGCGAATTGCTAATGAGCTACTGCCGCTCTGCTGAAGCGAAGTCCCAGAAAACGGCACAGGTTTTGTGATTTTGGCTAAAAATGGCATAATCATAATTTAAAGACCACTGGGAATGTTTAAAAATAGCTCAAAATATGATCGGAGTGGGACTTTAAATGCTGTTTAGTATGATAGTGTAGACCAAATGAATCAGCGCTGCGTTATCTCACAAGTTTAATTCGTCAAATAAACTGACCTGTGAGTAGTAATTCAGCACTTGCGGCTAGTTCGGTGTCCTCATTCCTTTATATCCGTGGGACTCGCGTGTGGCACTGATATCTGTCTCTTATTAGCTCGTCATCAACCTACGCCTTTGTTATTGTAAGAGGTTAGCGACCCTTAGCGGCGAAAGAAATTACACATTGTAGCTTTAAAGAGCGTCAAACCGGCATTGTTTGAATTTCGTGATAAAATGGACATAATTTGAAAAATGACAAATGAAAAATGAGCCTATTTTGATTATTGGTGGTGAATGGTAGCTATTATGGTGGTTAATGGTAGCTACACCGCTGTATTTGTCTCACATAAGACACGAAATTCGCGGGACGAATACGTGTACCGTTACACCCCTAATTAGGCTACTATTTAATCAAATGTCAAGTAGGAAAAATTAGTTTTGTGACATAACAAGGTAAAGTGAGGTCAACCTCAACTATGGGTTAGGGCAGGGCAGGGCGGCAGGGCAGGGCCGCAGGGGGCGGGGAATTTATCATTTATCATTTATCATTATAGATAGTCATAGATGCCTCATTAGCGGCTGTTTGGGCTGTTCCTACGTGACTTTGCATTTTCCATTAAACACAAAAGTAGAATTGTTAAAGAATACCTCAGCTCAGCTTCCATATAATGAAGTTGAATGGGGACTATAGGGTGTTTAAGCTCCAAAATCCTAAACAAGAAACACATCAGGGGCCGTATTCACAAAACATATTAAGGCTAAAAGTAGTTCCTAACTTATGGATTTAGGAGAAACTCTTAAAAATATAGGCGTGTCAGTCACTAATTTTAGGACTCCTACATTTTTCCTCTAAGAGTATTTCACAAAGCATTTTAGCGCCAAAACTAGCTCCTAAAGTTGTGAAACGTTACGAATCAAGTCACTAAGACCAAATCACAAACAATCCTAATGGCTGTTGCTGGCAATCCGCCCAAAGACACAGTACACCACTGAGCCAATAGAGTTAGAGCCTTGGGTGCTGAACCTTTTCTTCATAAATGCAATAAGCATTTTAATCTACGATTAAACGGCAAAAATACATCTTCAGGAAATAAATAATAATGTCCGATTACCTGTGGCTGTTTTCACTCACACATTTGAAAATGTCCACACAATGCTTATATGATCGAATAGATTAAAAATATATAATAAGAGAATTTGGCATGCTGCAAGGGGATCGAGAACCCAGAGTTCTCCCCCGTATCCCCAGCCGAGAGTGAGGCACGGGGTGGCGGAGGGATGCAGAAAACTGTCGAGGTAACTAGGTGAGTCGGCTCTCAGCTGCGTATACCTCCTCTGAGCTGATTAGATAGACCGCTTGAATGTGCTCCTCCCGAACTCTGTTTATAAAACATCATTTGTCGCTTGAATTCTGCACTCTTGAGGAGATGCAGACATGTAAGAGGCCGACAATTAGCTGAACATATACTATAATAAGTGACACTTAACCTACATTTTAAAACCTTTATTTAAATATGGCAACATATTTATTTCAAAATCTTAATTTGAATCTGGCAACAATATACCTCGTTCTACAATATTTATATCACTGACAGAGACTCCTCCCCCATCAGCCAATCACTGTATGCATAGTTCGTAAGCGTGTTGACATCATCCATACCAACAGGGTCAACCCCGGCCTTACTCTTAGCTTAAGACTTCTCTCTATTCCTTAGTAAAAGTTGGTCTCAGCAGCTTTGTGAATAGGTTTTAAGAGAAAACTCTTAACTAAGATCTTTTACTGCCATTGAGGAGAACTCTTAGTGGTAAGATAAAATGTTTTGTAAATACGGCCTCACCAGTCCATTTGACTTGTGCACTATATTTCATGTTAAGTCATATGATGTGTGAAGAACAGACTTAAATCTGTATGACATTTCTCTTCACTGGAGCATAAAAGAAGATATACCATATTGAGAGTTTTTTTTTTTTTTTTGGTCAGTGGAAATGGTCACCAAAACTGTTTGGTTACCAATATTCGTCAGAATATCTTATTTTATGTTTCACAGAAGAAAGGTTTGGAATGGTTCATAGGTTTGGAATGATGAAATGAGGAAAGAATTAACTATTTCTTTAAAGTCATTATTAAAAAAATGACCAAATGTCATTTGAATACTACTTTTTTTAATGTGCTTCCTTTGCCACCAAATATCACTAACATCAAACTTATTGCAACACATCTAATGCCACCACATGTGAGCAACAGCAGAAGCAAATCATTTCAATAAACTACTTAAATCATATTACTTCAGGACTTGGACTATGAGTTATGAATGATTATCACTTTTTGTCCTAATGCTGCTTTACTGGCACTAATTAGAAAATAAATCACCTTTTGTGTTCCAAGGAGGAAAAATAAATTATGCAGATTTGAGGGTGAGTAAATGATGACACATTTTCCATGTTTGGGTGAACTATTCCTTTAAGGTATTTCTTTGTTTTTCACCTCAGCGGCTTAAACCACTGATAAATCCACATGATTAAATCCCGGTCAAGCCCCCAAACATGGGTTCATTCAACCCTGGAAGACCCGAGTGTAAGCAAACACCCAGAACAGAGTTAAACAGCAGAGTGGAAACCTAATATTCAACTGCAAGGCACAGAAAACAGGTTCATAAGGATGACAACAGAGAGATGGGGAGAGAGCTTTCCTGGTATATATACTGTCCCTTTTTATAGTAATACAGAACCCATGCTGTGCTGTGCACTGTCACGCTTGAAGCTCCTGCAGGCGCGTGCTGCTCCTGCCCCTACCATCACACCAGCCCATGACAAAAACACAGGCAAATCATTGATATACAGACATGTATATTGTACAAGAAAATGCCCTGTTTGTTGCCCTCTCATGCCCCCCTGTTTGCAGGTGATGATTTTATTACAAACACTTCAGAAGCTCGAGTCAAACGAGCATGCGCATGAACACTACTGTAAAGAGAGGGTTAAATATCACTGTTTATTTAAATACACACTACACGTGTGAGTCGTGACTGGGAACGTTCAGCCCCCGTCCCCTCCACACAGCGCTGAAGCCTGAAACTCGTGCCCGTCTCCTTACCTTTGTGCATGCCCGTGTACTTGTCCTTGATCACAGTCAGCTCGTAGATCTTGCCGAACTGCTCAAAGATGGGCTTCAGGTCCTTCTCCTCCAGATTGCGTGGGATTTGCCCGATGAAGAGTTTGATGGCGTCGGGCTCCTTCATTGGGTCGATGATGCGGAGAAAGTCAGAGGCACTGCCTGGGTCAGGACTCGAGATGAACGTGCAGAGAGTGAGCGACAGAGACAGAGAGAGAGAGAGAGAGAGAGAGAGAGAGAGAGAGAGAGAGAGAGAGATGGAGGTGTGGAGGATGGTGCCTGTGGAGGCGGGGTGTGATCAAAACACAATGAATGGATGAATGAATCCTCACTTTAAGCATCACTTTAGCTTCATTATGTTACAGACTGATACTTTAAAATAAGGTGTTATATGTAAATGCATTTGTATTATGAGCGTACAAAAACAATACTTTTGATCAAAATATTCATCAATGCTTATTTATAAATACACTGTTGTTCTCTGTTTTTGGATATGCTAAAAATTTACATTAACCAAGAATAATTAATGCTGTAGGGTTTATTGTAAGAGCATGTTTACCATTGTAACTAATTGTTAACATAAGCCTACAACCTTATTGTAAAGAGTTACCAATACTGATTGTAAAAAGTAAGTGGTAAATACCCCACAAATATGATCGTTTAAAATGGCCTCATCGGCGTGACCTAATGTAGCAAGGTTGATTCAGTCATTTTAAATAATAGATTTGGTAATGCCAATTTTAGGTTACCAGGCAGCGCATCTTAATTCATTAATATAGCTGCTGTTTATTATGTATAGCTAAAATAGAGGCATTGAAACGGAAAGTCAACCGAGTATTTCATAAATAAATGAACAAAAAAGAACAAATCATGCGTTCGAATATCTAAATGCTGAACAAAAACGAGAGCTCTTTCGCTTGTCAATACAGTGATTATACAGAAAGAAATATGGAATCTTAACGTATTTAATAAAACATTCCCAGAATGATGTCAGATTATCTGCTCTTTAATTTCCACAGACAGCGATACAGATATAGTGTGCACGAGCGCATCCTTTGTTTAGGCAGCGGGGGCTGTGAAGCTCTTTGTCCGTCACCGTTAACCGGCAACAGTCCGTATTTACACAAGAGAAAACACACACACACACACACACACACACACACACACACACACACACACACACACACACACACACACACACACACACACACACTGATGAAAACTAAAAACAGCTCACCTAGAATGGTTTATTATCAAAACCTCTGTAAATCCCCGCGCTTGTTGTTCTGTATCTCCTGAGGTCCGCGCGTGACTGTTGCTCACGCTCGCTGTCACTCACACACTATTTCATTTGTAAATCACAGTTTCGGTCAGTATCTCTGCTATAATGTGCTATTATTAATCGTGTAAGCTATAAAATTACGCAATTGAAAGATTCATCCAAAGTACATCTGCTGTTCCCCGTATCTCATCTGCGCGGTTTACTACATTTGTTCTCGTTTCCACATCTTTAATTAAGATGTGACGTCAACGCCGGTGTCTCCCTCTCACGAGCTGTTGACAAGCTCGTGATGAACAGGCAGGGATCGTCTGCAACTTACACTTCTGTTAGCAAAAACAGAGGATACCATTTCAATCAATATAATTTGAAAAGATATTGTTTAAGATAAAGACTCACATAAACAGCCGTTCCTTCTCAATTAAATAGCGATTTTAGTGTGCTTGACAAAACCTCTTGCCTGGAGTGGTGCAGGGATGATGTATTTTTGTAGGCCAAAACCCGGAAACGAGGTAGCATTTTACCACATTTAGGCTAGTAGCCTACACTAGTTTTGGGGGTTACTGAAACATTGCCTGCAAATTATGTAACATAACATATACGTACAGTAGGCTATGCATTAAAAGAATATCTACATAGGCCTACTAAGTCTGCATGAAACAGAAGTTACTATAGTCCTTTTCTTCCCTATATTGTGACATAGCCTATATTCGAGTGAAATGGCTTCTTGAACAAGAATAAATGTAGGGCCGGACTTGATTTTGTCCATCGGGAATTGATTGGATGGTTGTAGTTTGCTATTGGTTGATCTGATGTGAGTGACAGGTTTCCCCGCCCTCGTGCCATCAGAGAGAAGTTATTTTGATTAAAGATTACTAGGGCGCATGGATTTAAAAAATAAAAATAATGAAGTGCACGGATAAATCATAATAAACACTGCAAATGCAATAATCCTTACAAATAAATAAGAATCATCCATTTAGATTTCATGGCGATTTCCTACTTTTAGGGAAAACCCAAGCACCAAAAATCTTGCACTCCCTGGTTTTGGTGTAAACATTAGCTTCTGTTTTTGATGAGATCCTGCTATTGGTTGACAGTCCCTGAACCTCCTATTGTTCTAGCCTTGAGCTCTGACCGTGGTGCTGAAGGCTTCGTGCGCGCGCTTTACAACTGCTGTCATTCCTGGAACGTCACGCGCCTTTAACTAATGTATAAAGCACATCATATTGATTTTTAATGTTAAAGGAGGATTTATAAAACAGTCCGGGCTATCTAAATGGACGAGCAGCGTTTGAAACCCATGTAAAAATAAAATAAAATAATTCTTTACAATTTTATTAAGCCTTCAGCACCACGGCTAGAGCTCATGATATCCTGAATAACGTAATTAAATCGCATATCAAAAAACACAAAATGCTTCTTGTACAAAGACAATTTATTATTGTTCCAGACAGAAGCACTGAATAGAAATAAAAAAGTGGTGGCTTTAGAAGTCAATATTGTGTTAATTCTATTCATATAACTTGTCATAAGCCTCTCGCTACAGTCGTCGTCATCAATCCATTTTAAGCAATTTAGCTCGCCAGTCTTTCAGAGAGGGAGATTTAAGGGTTGTTAACTCAACACACATTCTGTATTCTGTCTGGAATGCACGAATGTCCTCCTCTGCATCAGATCTCACAGTTTAGCTAAAGTGTTTTTGTGTTCCAATGTGCCGCTTTTTAATTGTTGTTCTATATATAGGCTACATACAAATATATTTACATTCCTTCCTCATCAATCCATACAATTTGCATAGAGAAAATTATTCAAAATGCACAAACAAGACACTTCAGTCATTTTTATTTTTGCTAAATTACTTCATTTTTTAATACTTAAGTCCAATTTTAAATTGTACCTGTTACTTAAACTCAAGTATATTTTTTGCTGGATACTTGGACTTTTAATAGAAGTCGCTTCAGAAGGCCTTCATTAACCATGTGGAGCCGTATGGATTACGTTTATGATAGATGGATGTGCTTTTTTTGGGCTTCAAAATCTCATTTACTATTCACTCCCATTATAAAGCTTGGAAGAGAAGAATTTAATATATATATATTACTCAGATTGTGTTTAGCTGAAAGAAGAAAGTCATATTTACCTTGAGGGTGAGTAATTCATTTTTGGGTGAACTATCCCTTTAAGGTGGATTAATTGTTTGTTCTTAATATTATTAATAACAAATCAAACAATGTATTACACTTAGTTCTTCACATTGCTTTTGCTGCAGAAACAGGACATTTTAACCCCTGAGTCTCGCTTGGAGCCCCTGTGACCTAAATGTGCCTGGTGGGATGAGACAGGTTTCAGAGTGATTTACTGTGAAAAGGTCACCATCTGCCTCTAGTGCCCCCAGATCCAGATCCCCGACCCCTCCTCTTCACACATGCTGTATGAGCATAAAGCCTACGTGATCTCAGACAGGACTGTGTTTTAGATGGTCTTGGGAAAGATCTACCTTGATAATAAGCTGTTGTTGCTCACAGGTATGAGCGGAGAGCGGCATCACTACACTGCGCCCTGCTGGTGAGACTGGATCATTGCTGTCGAGTCTAAAGATTCTTAAAGTCCCCCTGGTCAATAATTTTATCCCTTAAAACTCATCTTTGATCCCCAAAATGACCTATTAAACATTTCTTCATGCCTTAAAATAGCTTGAATGTAACTCTACACCCTTTAGTAGGCTATACGCGGTTCTATGAATATGCTAATTAGCCCCGCCTCCAATCACTCAAACCAGCTCAGAGATCCACTCGTTGACGATCACACGTTGATCTGATTGGTAGTTTGTGACGGCAGAAACACCAGAGATTTCAAACCGTTTTTGAGACTGTCTTTGGTTAACTGCAGTTTTAAAGAGAAAATACTCAGCAATGGTGTCGACTTATGAATTTGTACATGGTTTGTCTTAAAGGTGCAGTCGGCAAGTCTGGCAGATTGAGTGGATTTAGGCAAAATTTTGAATGTTTACAACTCTCATGCCCCTCCCCCACTACCAACGAATACCCTCCCACCGAGTTCGTGCTCGTCAGTGCGTGTGCACCAGGTTATCTGTGAACGCGCCCGTCTCATCAGCATCCATCAACACCATGGAGTATGTGGAGGTATGCTGTCCTGGCTAATCTACCGATAGATTGCAATTGCTAACGTCATTTATACTCTAAATGAGCTTACTTGATTTTCCGCCATCACTCTTCGTTACTGGGCGAACTTCAGGCGTGTGCATGTGATTGTAACGTGCGCGAGGGGTGGCGTGTGCCCGATCTGTGATTGACAGTCAGATCTCACACCCCCCTGCGCTGATTGGACATGATGATCCGGGAGCTGTGGATTTTTGCAAAACAAATAACACGCTTCAGGTGTATTTAGAAGCGCGGGTTTTTTTCTAAAACCACTTTATTTATGTTGTTCTGTCAGATTATAGTGTCGATTTCACTGAATATGATAAAAAAATGTCGCCGACGGCAGCTTTAAAGCACTGTATATTAAAAACACCACATAGATAAACAACATTAATTTTCACCACAGGGGGACTTTAATTGGGACATATGTGTCCATGAAGAACCTGCATATAATCTTTCCATTGCACAAAAGGTTCCTTATATATTTCTTTAAAATGTTCTTTACACTCTTAAAAAATAAAGGTTCCAAAAACCATTTTGGTTCCCACTAATCCATTCAGTAAACAGTTCTTAAAAGACGTGACTATAGAAATACACTTGAAAAGGTTTTTGTCTAATGGGCTCTATAAGTAATAACTTTCAATAACAACATTGATTTACATTATATCATCATACAGTACTCTATTAGTTAATCATGAACATTTTATTCATATTTATTTTCACATTCAAGTGACCACAAAAGGTATTTGATGTGTGATTGTCACTGCATTAGACACAATATCAAACCACTTCATCTGCAAATAAATTATGCTTGACTTTTTCCTCAGGAGTAACTTTACTTATTGTGCAACCTGTATGTAATTAAAATATTTATAAACATATATTTATATGAGATCAGCATAGTTTCAGCACTGATGAGAAAACAGTAGTATGGTTTTAGGTTTGTTTATTATGAATAATAATTGTGGTAAAATCTGCACACACTGTTTATTCCATATCAAAGCAACATAAATGTATAACAATGACAAGTTGATCTTGAATTTCCAAAGACAGTAAGTGATCCATTTAAGAAAAAAAATAAATTATATGTATTTTATCATAGATAAATAACTATGTCTCCTGTTTCGTATATAAAAGCATATTTTTATTCTTCTAAAGAGTCTCTGCTACCAGTCTAAACGCATGTGATAATATACATACAAAATATGTACATAAACTCTCTCTCACACACACGCACGCACGCACACACACACACGTTGGGTTGCCATGTTTTATGGGGACTTTCCATAGACATAATGATTTTTATACTGTACAAACTGTATATTCTCTCCCTTTACACTAACCCTACCCCTAAACCTACTCACTCACTCAGACTCACTCGCTCACTCAGACTCACTCGCTCTCTCACTCAGACTCGCTCGCTCGCTCACTCACTCACTCAGGCTCGCTCACTCACTCACTCAATTACTCACTCAGACTCACTCACTCGCTCAGACTCGCTCGCTCACTCACTCACTCTCGCTCACTCACTCACTCACTCACTCAATTACTCACTCAGACTCACTCGCTCTCTCACTCAGACTCGCTCGCTCGCTCACTCACTCACTCAGGCTCGCTCACTCACTCACTCAATTACTCACTCAGACTCACTCACTCACTCTCGCTCACTCACTCACTCACTCAATTACTCACTCAGACTCGCTCGCTCACTCACTCAGACTCGCTCGCTCGCTCACTCACTCACTCAGGCTCGCTCACTCACTCACTCAGACTCGCTCACTCACTCAATTACTCACTCAGACTCGTTCACTCACTCTCTCACTCAGACTCGCTCACTCACTCACTCGCTCAGGCTCGCTCACTCACTCGCTCATTCAGACTCACTCACGCTCGCTCAGACTCGCTCGCTCACTCACTCACTCAGATTCACTCGCTCACTCACTCGCTCACTCAGACTCACTCGCTCAGACTCGCTCACTCAGACTCACTCGCTCAGACTCGCTCGCTCACTCAGACTCACTCGCTCAGACTCGCTCACTCAATTACTCAGACTCACTCACGCTCGCTCAGACTCGCTCGCTCACTCACTCGCTCAGACTCGCTCACTCACTCAGATTCACTCGCTCACTCACTCAGACTCACTCGCTCACTCAGACTCGCTCACTCACTCTCTCACTCAGACTCGCTCTCTCACTCAATTACTCACTCACTCGCTCGCTCACTCAGACTCACTCGCTCACTCAGACTCGCTCACTCACTCGCTCGCTCGCTCACTCACTCACTCACTCACTCAGACTCGCTCTCTCACTCAATTACTCACTCACTCGCTCGCTCACTCAGACTCACTCACTCACTCACTCACTCAATTACTCACTCAGACTCGCTCACTCACTCACTCACTCACTCACTCACTCACTCACTCACTCACTCACTCACTCACTCACTCACTCACTCACTCACTCACTCACTCACTCACTCACTCACTCACTCACTCACTCACTCACTCACTCAGACTCGCTCGCTCACACACTCAGACTCGCTCGCTCGCTCACACACTCAGACTCACTCGCTCACACACTCAGACTCGCTCGCTCGCTCACACACTCAGACTCACTCGCTCACACACTCAGACTCGCTCGCTCACACTCAGACTCACTCGCTCACACACTCAGACTCACTCACTCACTCACTCACTCACTCACTCAGACTCACTCACTCACTCACTCATACTCGCTCGCTCACACACTCAGACTCGCTCGCTCACACACTCAGACTGACTCGCTCACACACTCAGTCACTCACACAGTCAGACTCACTGACTCACACACTCAGACTCACTCGCGCAGACTCGCTCACTCACTCGCACACTCAGACACTCGCTCACTCCCTCACACACAGACTCGCTCACTCACTCTCTCTCTCACTGACTCACACACTCAGACTCACTCGCGCAGACTCGCTCACTCACTCGCACACTCAGACACTCACTCACTCTCTCTCACTCGCTCATTCACTGACTCGCTCACTCCCTCACACACAGACTCGCTCACTCACTCTCTCTCTCACTCACTGACTCACTGACTGTATTTTTACACTAAATTAGAGGGATTATTTGCAAACAGGGAGGTTATGTCAGCCTTGTAGTTATAGCTATGGGCTGGTAACAGAAAGTTCACATTTGATCTCTGATAGAAACCCTTGAGTATTTAACCACAGGGCAATGGTCTTACATTGTACATCGCTTTGGCTAAATGACTATACTATTTGCAATTTAATACTTATGCAATGAATAAACCGCACGAGCGATGCTGTCCTAAATGGATTCCGCCTGCATGTGCACATATCTATAGCAACCATTTATCAGAGGCCTTATATTACACAAAATGAAATGCACAAAAAAAAATGCTTTGAGCTTTATAATTATGATACTAAAACTGGTAGCGCTTCTGAAATGTATGTTGATTCTGTAATGGCCATATTTTAATTTATACTGTGGGCAACCAATAAAAACAACCAGACATAAACAAACCAACAAACAAACAAATAAAAAACAAAAACATCACTAAAACATGGAACACTGAACGACTGATATACATTCAGACAAAACCGACCTAAAGAATGAAGACTAAATCAAATACCGCTCATCTTCTATTTATATCCCAGAAATGATGTATGTGGACTAGATTCATGGTAGATTTCTGTTCACACTCGATCAATTCCGTTCTGCTATCTTACAATTTAGGGCACTGAGACCAAGCCAGCGGGCAGAACTGATGCTTGTATAACAATCTATTGCTGCTTATGTCATTTTTAGGCAATAATTACAGTATGCAATCATGTGCATTCACATGAAAACAAATGCATTCTTTCTCTCCTTTTCACTTTCTTACAAAAACCTTGATGAGGAGTGAAGGATGTACGTTATGTGTGTAACTGATGTTTTATCTGTGTGTGTTGTCATAGTTTGGTCACACAACTCTGTCGCCTCATAAACCGGCTAAATGAGTCCAGATATCCTGATTGACTTGAAATTAAAAGAAACAGCTATGAAACACTTCATGTAGCACAAAAGCAACTTCTAGAACTGTTCTCACTTAACACTATCTTCATATATATGTCCATAACGAGGACTTGTGACATCAGTGCACTTGTTTAAACAACATTAAGGAATGGTTAAGTATTTGACAGTATCGTGTACTAAACAGTCCTAGCGCTGCCGCGGACTCTTCAGCAATAGGGAAAGAGCAACTGTCAATTATTTGAGCCCATATGTGGTAACATTTGAAAACTTTCACTTTAAAGGGATCCTGATCTCAGCTCAGTTCAAGGTGGGATTCCATTTGAACGTGTCTGGCCTCTGATTGGCTGTCTCCGGTGATTGAACTATAATGCGATCACTGATTGGCTGAGTTTGGGCTCTGGTTGGCTCGTAGTGAATCTCTGTGACTCGTCTAGGGTTAATGTCTTTTGGCCCGCTGAGCACTCTGGGCACAGGACGCACAGCAGGCGGTCTTGTAAAAGCTGTAGACGCAGAGTCGAGCCTGGACCACCATTACACAGTTATGTTGTCTGTCTTTACAGTTCTCATCTACAAAGAGAGAGATAGGAAGAGAGAGGGATTATAATCTAAACCAGGGCTTTTCAATCTGTTAGATGCCATGGACCCCCAAATATGATCATTCTTATACGAGGGACCCCCATCCTAATATTTAAAGGCAAAGAAAGAAAAAGATCCAATAAATACTGTAACAAGTTTATATAACACATGTTTAAATATGTCTACTTGTAAATGTTTCTATTAAATTACTTCATTGCGGTTTTTTTCTACCCAATATACTGTATTTTGTAAGTTAGATATATTTGATTCATTTATATTTTGATCAAATTATTTTAATCAAATGTTCTTATTTAGTCACTTAGTTTAATATTATTATCATTATTTTACATTTTTACTCTATATTTTATTTAAATCAATTTTTTATTTAATTATGTAGTAGTATTATGAAATGTATTATTCTAATCAAATTGTATTTCTTTATTTTAATCAAATGTTTTTATTTATGTACTGTAGTTATTTATTTTTTATTTAAACCAAATGCTATTTTTTTTTTTAATTATTATTTTATTTTAATACAATGTATTACTTTATTATAATTTTTTTAAATCAAATTGTATTCATGTATTTTAATCAAATGTTTTATTTATTTATAAACACATTTTTATTTATTTATTTTACTACATTTATTTTTTATCTAATGTGTTGATTTATTATATATTTATTTAAATACAATTTATAATTGTTTTCATTTTAATCAAATTTATTTATTTATTTATTTAGGCAGTTTACTTTTCTTTTACATTTTTATTTAAATCAAGTTTTATTTATTTAGGTATATTAAATGTATAATTTTAATCTAATTGTATTTATTTGAATTATTATATATTATTTATTTATTTTAATCAAATGTTTTTATTTATGTACCTATTTATCTTTGATTTAAATCAAATGTTATTTATTTATTTTATTTTATTTTAATAAAATGTATCAACATATTATTTTTAAACAAATGTTTATTTATTTACAATAATAAATGTTTTGTCTAATGTATACATTTATTATTTATTTATTTAAATAACCTTTTTATTTTAATCAAATTTATATATCGCTGCTTTTCTCTAAACTTTTCCCGGACCCCAGTTTGAAAATCCTGCCACAATACACACACACACACACCTTCAAAGGGACTGCAGGGAATGGTGTTACAGGTCTGCTCATGCGCAGGTTTGGTGTGGAGATCGCAGACTGCACTGTACTGTTTGTCTGCTGTGAGACACCGTACCTCCCGCGTCTGCACCCCTTCACCACAGGAGCGAGAGCACTGCACCGAAACAGAGGAGCACTTAACAACAACAGAATAAGGGAAGACCCTGAAGGACAGATTGATTGACAGATGATGTCATCCTCACCGTGCTCCATTCGGTGGTGAACCACTGTGGTTTGCAGGGCTCCAGTTCACACGACTGCACTGGGAACGGTTTCTCCAGGTGGGAGCACTCACTGGTGCCGCTCACGGTGAAGTCACTTCCTGTCTTCTTCACACAGATGACGTCCCTGCGCTGGGTGCCGTTCCCACACACTGCGTTACACTGTTGACAGAGTGAACACACACTCAAAGACAGTTCACTGTTCTGTTCTGTTCTATGTTATTCTATTCTACAGTTCTACATTTAACTTTGTTCTACTCCTTTCATCTTTATTCTATGCAACTTTATTCTATTCTACATGGTTCTATTCTATTTTATTTTTTTATTTGTAATTTTATGAGGTTTCTTTGATGTGATTCTACATTATTCTTTTCGAATTTTAGAATGTTCTTGTCAGGTGTGGTGGTGGTGAAGGGAGCGAGGACTCAAGTGCAGAGTTGATGGGTCTTTAATGATGATAAAACAAAACAGACAACAGAAACTACCCCGAGGGGGAAAACAAGATTGACTTGAATTGACAGCAGGGAAACACATGGTGTAGATACGACAACGAAACAGCACAGGACTGCTGAACACACAAGAAGAATCAAAGGAGAAGCAAACAAAGCCGGTAACAGAGGACAGGTGTGGCAAATGAATCGATCAGGTAACAGAGGACAGGTGGGGCAAATGAATCAATCAGGTAACAGAGGACAGGTGGGGCAAATGAATCAATCAGGTAACAGAGGACAGGTGGGGCAAATGAATCAATTAGGTAACGGAGGACAGGTGGGGCAAATGAATCAATTAGGTAACAGAGGACAGGTGTGGCAAATGAATCAATCAGGTAACGGAGGACAGGTGTGGCAAATGAATCAATCAGGTAACGGAGGACAGGTGGGGCAAATGAATCAATTAGGTAACGGAGGACAGGTGGGGCAAATGAATCAATTAGGTAACGGAGGACAGGTGGGGCAAATGAATCAATTAGGTAACGGAGGACAGGTGGGGCAAATTAATCAATTAGGTAACGGAGGACAGGTGGGGCAAATGAATCAATTAGGTAACAGAGGACAGGTGGGGCAAATCAATCAATTAGGTAACAGAGGACAGGTGTGGCAAATGAATCAATCAGGTAACGGAGGACAGGTGTGGCAAATGAATCAATTAGGTAACGGAGGACAGGTGGGGCAAATGAATCAATTAGGTAACGGAGGACAGGTGGGGCAAATGAATCAATTAGGTAACGGAGGACAGGTGGGGCAAATTAATCAATCAGGTAACAGAGGACAGGTGCGGCAAATTAATCAATCAGGTAACAGAGGACAGGTGTGGCAAATGAATCAATCAGGTAACAGAGGACAGGTGTGGCAAATGAATCAATCAGGTAACAGAGGACAGGTGGGGCAAATGAATCAATCAGGTAACAGAGGACAGGTGGGGCAAATGAATCAATCAGGTAACAGAGGACAGGTGGGGCAAATGAATCAATCAGGTAACAGAGGACAGGTGGGGCAAATGAATCAATCAGGTAACAGAGGACAGGTGGGGCAAATGAATCAATCAGGTAACAGAGGACAGGTGGGGCAAATGAATCAATCAGGTAACAGAGGACAGGTGGGGCAAATGAATCAATCAGGTAACAGAGGACAGGTGGGGCAAATGAATCAATTAGGTAACAGGACAGGTGGGGCAAATGAATCAATCAGGTAACAGAGGACAGGTGGGGCAAATGAATCAATCAGGTAACGGAGGACAGGTGGGGCAAATGAATCAATCAGGTAACAGAGGACAGGTGGGGCAAATGAATCAATCAGGTAACAGAGGACAGGTGGGGCAAATGAATCAATCAGGTAACAGAGGACAGGTGGGGCAAATTAATCAATAATCAGGTAACAAGATGGGAGGGGCAAAACAATCGACAGGAGAGCACATGGAAACATACATGACAAACATTGTGCTCATACCAAACATGACCAGAACACAAGCACATGGCCAGTAAAACAAATCACCAGCCATGTGCTCACACAAAACAGACATGAACACGCAGCCAATGAGAACACAAAACATGACAACATAAAAAAGTGTAAAACACACGTGCTACACAGACAAGACAAAACAGGAGTGTCAGGGCTCTGTCACAAAACCAAGAAATAGACTAGACAGAAGTGACAGAACCCTGACAGTTTTAATTGATTTATTTGAACTTTATTGTTAAAGTCCCTGTAAAGGCAATTAAAAAAAAAAATTCTAAACACATTATAAATGTTAGAAATGTATAGCTAAAACATATTACAAAGACTGTGAACTGTGAAGTACTGAATTGTGGAGTTAGACCGTTAAACAGTTTTTCACCATTCATATTTTACGGATTTTCTGGGCGGGGCTAAAACAGGGCTCGATGACGCACTGGAGCCCCTGAGCTCCTGGACACGCCCCTACTTGATGACGCACTGGAGCCCCTGAGCTCCTGGACACGCCCCTACTTGATGACGCACTGGAGCCACTGAGGCTGTCCGCTCCCCTAACAATATAGAGCACATTCACATCAGTTTTGCCGCTCAATCGTGAGTTACGGTCAGTACTATTAGTTACTACAGCAGCCTACAGTTTGCTAGCTAGCTATGCCTTCGTCACAGAAAAGCGTAGGGCTACTACCTGGGTGCGATCATCGGATCACATACAAAACAGATCGGTGTCCATATTTAAATTTCCGAAAAACGATTACATCAAAAAGAAGTGGATTAATTTTGTGAAGAGCCAACCTTGATGGAGAGCTGAGGATCACTGCCAAAACCCGCCTCTGTAAGTGATCATTTTACACGGGATAGTTCGGAGACAACTGAGACATTCACTGATAATCCGCTGTTACTGGTGAATGGGGCCGAACCGACTATCTTCCGCCTCGGGATTCATCCTCCCGTCGCGCCGACAACTGGTGCCATCATCGGCAGTGCGTGCCCACCGTGCGAGCATCCATTCCGGCTGTAGAGTTGAGTGTGGTGACGGCAGCTTTCCCGCGAGTGGGCGTGGTTTCAGCGCAGCCAGTGGACACGCCCCCAGCGTTTGAGAGCAGAGAATACTGCTCATTTTTTCAAGATTTTGAAAGCTTATTTTATGTACTTACTGGCTTTTTTTATCATTCAAATTTGGCAGGGTGGCTAATAACACATTTTTCTGTGGTGTGACAAACTCAGAACACATACAAAATTTTGACTTTACAGGGACTTTTAACTATATTGTTCTACATTTAACTTTATTCTATTTTTCCAACTTTATTCTATGCAATTTCATTCTGTTCTATTCTTCATGGTTCTATAATGTTTTATTTTGTTCCATTTATTTGTATTAAGTTTCTTTGGTGTTATTCTATTCTACATGATTTTATTCTACTTTAGAATGTTCTAATTATAATTATTTTAACTATTCTTATTGGCAAGTTCTGTTCTACATTTAACTTTGTTCTATTCTATCAACTTAATTCTGCTCTGATGAACAATATTCCATTCTATTTTTATTTTGTTCTATTTCCTTTTATTAGGCTTCTTTGATGTCATTCTACATTATTCTAATCTTTTTTTTAAATGATCTAATTGAATTATTTTAACTTTATTGTTATTCTATTCTGTAATATTTTATTTTGTTCAATTTAATTTTATTGCCTTTTATTTGATGTTGTTCTATTCTACATTCTATTCTATTTCTGAACTGAAATATTTTAACTTTATTCTAAGCAAATTTATTCTGTTCTATTCATTGTTCTTCTATTCTACATTGTTCAATTATATTTGGTTCTATTTCCTTTTATTTAGTTTTCTTTGATGTTCTTTTATTCATATTTCTATTTTATTCTATTCTGTTATTCCACTTCATTCATTGACGCGTTCTTCTATTCAATATTCTATAATATATTTCTATTCTATTCTTACATAGACCTTGCCATTGGAATTTAATTGAAAGATTTTTGCTGTAGACACACGGGCCTCACCTGTCCCCAGGGTCCAGTGTACCACAGGTGGGTGGGTGTACAGGGACCCCCGTTACAGGCCTTCATATCAGCCGGTTTCTCTGCCACACATTCCACTCCACCGTCTCTTTCTCTCCTGCCTCCACCGGTCAAACACACCACCTCTCTCCGCTGGACACCCGGCCCGCACGTCGCAGAACACTGAGAGAGAAAGGGAGAGAAACAATAACCCATTTGATTAAATATCTCTATATGAATATATACATTTACAAAATGACCTTTTTTGCAAATCAAGTGCAAGCATGAGTCTCACTGGTCAATACTCACAGTGTTTGTCCAATCCGTGAAGTACCAATTAGTGACACAAGGACCCATGTGACAGTCCTCGGTGCGCTGTGGGCGGAGCCTGTCATTGCACTCCCTGTCACTCATAGTGCTACCATGGTTACTGACACAGCGTACACTCCTGGTTCTCTTTCCCACTCCACAATCCACTGAACACTGTGGGAAAAAGATGCATTATCATACATGGAGACAGCTCAAACACATCTATGTGTCTCTGGAGATAAACACATAGACTTAGATAGACTAGAGCAAAACAACAGATTTTCCAAATCAACTAGTCAGTTGGTTGAACAACTACAGTAGCCAGAACATGTTTCATTAGCACAAGACACATTTTTGCCTATAAAAACAGCAAGACAGAAAGCAATATGGAACAATGCAGGGGTCTCAATTCACAAGACACAAATTTAAAAGACTATTTTCAACTTGACTTGAGTAAGCTCAAAATACCCCACAGATAATTTATTAGCCTACAATTTGTCAAATTTGCCCCTATTTGAGTTTGAGCAAAAACAAGCAATTTTTGTGTGTGTCCCTTTAAATGCAAATGAGCTGCTGCCTTTCCAGAAGAGGGCGGAGCCTTTACAGCTCATGCTTCAGATACTCCGGCAACAACAAAACTGGAGAGTGTCACGCAGCCAAAATGTCAGAAATTGTCAGTAGCCTTACATGTTAGTACAGGAGTCTGACAATGATGGAGAGACTCCAGTTACAACTTTTAGAACGCAACAGGACGCTTCTGAATGATTAGTGGATAAATGTATGTAGTTGTTGTGGAGTTAAGTTGATTCAACTCATCAACTAGTAGCATGTACCATCATGTTAATCTAAAAATCTTTCAGAAACCACTTTTGTGCAAATCCTGCCAGTCCTGCATAAAAGGATTTGCGCAAGTATATAACACTTTAACGACTTTCTTCGGCACATTTCCTTCATAAATGAAATTCAACCACGGTGTCCTTAGTGGCTCAGATGCTGGGAGTCTATGGATACTCTTATATTCGTTGGTACATCCAATAACAGAACATTTGTAATGTTTTTTTGGCGCAGACATTGCATATCTCCAGCTGCTACAGTGAGGAAACAGTAGCGGCGACTGCTGTGGGTCACTCAGGACGGGATCTATGCTAATAAGCACCAGTCATGGGCGGGGCTTACATAAGAGTGGGGCAAATCTGGAACCGCTTTTTTGGAGACACTGTTTATGATTTATGGAGATTCTACAAAAGGACTGGGTGGATTTTCACCATTATAGGCTAGTTGTTTACACACATCTGTGTTCAAACACCTTATAAAAGAGAATTAGAAAAAGCATAATAGGTCCCCTTTAAAGGTGCTATATGTATTTTTTAGCGGCCTCTATCGGTGATGTTTCAGATTGCAACCAATTTTTAGAAGAGCGCTCGTGCTCTTGCGCGTGCTCGAACACAAGAGCGATCACTCATGGTACCGGCCACACTGAGACTTTCAACACACCGGAGAAAGCATCACACAACATGCTGGAAACTCATGTAAACTCCCACTGCAACGTTACAATAATAGGCTACTTTTATCAGCTTGACGTTGAACTAATGCTCCATGCTCGTACCATGATAACGTTACATTGACTGCATTTAGCCGGCATGTGGTGTTATAGCATAATGCATTTCACTAACTATTCGTGTCTTTCACAATCAGGCAGCAATGTCAACATAGGTGAATGTATAATATGATAACGAAAACGGTTAGTGAACTAGACTGAACAATTTCAGTGTAACAGTAAGATCGTAGGAAGTAACATTACTGTACTGAACGTGTCTGGAAATGTGTATTATAAACAATATGACAGTGGGATGAGTGACGTTAGACAGTAGATCTAGTACATAAAACAAAAGTTACATCCTAAAGCACCTACTTTTGTTATCCTGGAACAGTCTTTTGTATTCATTTCATGTCTCATGTATGTTGTAGTTTACCTTGCCATTTCATTACAGTTTACCATTATTTATTTCAGCATATCTGAAAACTTGTAATTTATCACAATAAAAATAGCGGAGGTCTCTCCATAATTCAAACGCTCTGCCGATGTTGATCCGTGTTTTTGTCTTAAGTCGATCCGATTCACGTTTGGCCTGACGAGCTTCAGCAGATACATTTTTGTTTTGTATATTTATGTGGAGTTTGTGTTGGAGTGTGTGTTGTGCTGGAGGCAGGTCGTCGTTCGCTGCAGTGCCGTCGCATAGACTGTATATAAGAAGGAGAGAGGCTCGGGAGCGCGCATGCACGTCACATCCGATGGATTTCGCAGAAAATCCGACCCGGAGACTTCACATAGAAATAGGAATACTGGCCTTCAGAGGTAATAGCAAAACCCGACAAGTGGATCATTGTAATGTGTGATTACAATCCCTTCACACACAGGCAATAAAAAAAAGGATTCATTTTAGAAGAAAAGTTCCATATAGCACCTTTAAAGATGCAACAAGAGCAGAAAAAAAAACAGGTGCTCAAAAATATACAAAAACATTTGACTACACATAATATTTACAAAATATACGGAATAATACTAAAAGAAAATGATATAAGCAAGTCCACCTGACGCACACGTGTCTTACCGTGCTCCAGTTGGTGCTGATCTCCCAGTGGGAGCACATGCGCGGGTGGCAGGGCTGAGTGGCATTGGGGCGCGAGAGACTGGAGCAGCGCTGAGGCTGAACCATCGTTGAAAGGTTCCCAAAACTCAGCCTGCACTGTATGTGGCGCTGCTGCACACCCCGACCGCAGGAAACACTGCACTCCGACCACACACCTGTATCCCAGCTACACACACACAAACACAAGTTAACTGAGATATACATATTAACCCAAAACAACAATCTATATTCATTTATGTAAATGCCTGCCACAGACTGTGCAATTTCAGCAATCATATAAGATCAGTGCAAAATAACACTGTACAATATGGATCTAATAAACTAGGGTCTACTGTAGACTGTACGATGATGATGACACCTATTGAATCGTTGGCTATGACCAAGTTAGTATAGAAGAATAAAACATCATCAGCATGCGCTAGTGGTGAACAAACAGAGCAAGATGAATCGACCTGTGTTTTTTATGTGCGCTGAAAAGTAAGCGAAAGAGGAGAATATGGACGCGGCCATGCCATGGCTAGGGAAAAGAGGACAACTTGGCATGCCAATCTTGCAAATGGAGCTCAGGGTAAGTAGTTTTAAGTTTTAGGTAAGCGCCATTTCATGTTGCACTTTTATTGGCTAGTCAGTAGACGTATGTCATCAGACTGTCATTGATCTTCTTGATTCACGTAGTCACATTAAATTACAGTCATTAAGAACATTAATGATATCTGCGATACATTTATGTTGGTTCTGTTCTGTTTACCCTAAGGGGGTTATCACTGCGCTCCCTGCTCTTATAGGGAGTTGAATAGATTAATAGAAAGTGAAACAGTATTGAACAGTATTGTATGTACTGTACATGCACAGTTACTCACAATGGTGGACAAGGATGAACATTACAGGGCTCCTCCTCTGCCACGGGTTTGGTTGCAGAGTCGCACCTCCTCTCATGGACTTCCTGTTCTGTGTGTCTATTCACACACACAATCTCTCTGTACTGAGAGCCTGAATATACACAAACACATACATTCACATCAAAAAACAAACATAACACAGCATTTTTTTAGTGGTGAGTGGTGTAAAATCTGTGTTCTGGGTGGTTGTTTACACCCTCAAATCTCTGTGATCTTCTGATCTCTAGATATTGCTTTGGTTCTTTTTAGTTTAAAATCACTAAATCTGTGGAATAGTAATAGTGAGTGATGTTTGCTTGAGCAAACGCCACTAGCTCTTTACCAGGAGGAGGCAGCAGATAGCAAACTAACACAGCTTAATATAAAACAGCGGCGAGCAAACTGAGAAACTCTCAAACACACTCACAGCCCTATAGAGAAACTCCCTAACAGTTTGGCACATGTACGTTCTGTTCCACAGCGCTTGGCTTTCTTCATATGTCAGTAGGCAATGGGTTCATGTTCTCTGAGTGTTTCCAGCTCGCCTATTACAAATAAACACAGCATTAATCCACCTCGTCCACTCACAGGATCACAGAGCCACTCAAAGCAATAGTGTGTGGTGTCAACCGGTGCAAAGTCGTAAGAGGAGATTCATGTAAATGTCATGTGACTGATCACTCAATAACAGAACTGCTTGTAGCAGATGGGGAAAATATAGGCATATGTAAACACTACTGTTATAAAATTTGGGGTCAGTAAAATAGTATTTTTTTAATACATGAAAGCTTTTTTTTTTTTACAGGATGCATTAAATTGATTAAAAGTGACAGTAAATACCTTTATAATGTTAAAAAAAGATTTCCATTTAAAATAAATGCTGTCCTTTTAAAGTGTCTATTCACCAAAAAATATGAAGCAGCACAATTGTTTTAAACATTAATAATAAGAAGAAATAGTGGCATCATGTGACACTGAAGATTGGAGTAATGATGCTGAAAATGTAGCTTTAGCATCACAGGGATTTTTTTTTAATTATTTTGACAGTAGCTTGAGTTGGGATATAGATGTAAATGTTCATTAAAAAAACAGTAACATTGAAAAATTGTAACAACCTCATTTTTATAGGTTAAAATGTCTTCCATAGTATTTGAATCATGTTAACCAACCATGCATTGCACTTTACTACCATGGTAAAAAAGAAACTATAGCATTTGTTTTAGCCTAAAGACATTTAGTATAATATAAAGGGACAAAAACTGCTATAGCTTAACAAAAAATACTGTAATTATATTCCATTTCCAAATCTACATTAATAATTTAATAAAATTCTATATGAACATCCCACATTTCTGCCACAATCCCATGGTTTCAGTAAGTGTTTGATTTGTGTTTTGTATAGGAGAACTCTGCACCAAACTCAGATGCATTTCACTGAATCTCACAACGATTTTTAGCGGTCACGTGATCAAGACGGTCAACAAGTAAACACATTCGCTCCAAGCTCTCGCTGTGCTGCTGTGTTTTGAGCCGAGCTGATAAATGTGTAGTGCGTGGTTCAAACGAGCAGCTCGGTCTCGTTCCGCTTTTGGCCAGTTTGCTGTTTAATGTTTCTCATAGGCACCAGAAATAGTTGGCTTATCAGTCATTGGCACCAGTGTGTCTGCAACAGACATGTGCAGCATAATTTGCATAATGCATAAACATTATATTGAACACTTATCGAACTTCTGTTATAATTTTATCGAGGAAAATTAAATCGCAATAGTTATCGTTTTATCGCCCAGCCCTAATTCATATGCTGTAATGATTTAATTTAGTCTGAATAGTTACTTTTGAATGGTCGTCCATAAAGAAAAATGTCTTTTCATTGCATAAAGGTGTAATTATGGCATCTACCAGAAAATGCATACCGGCCAAACATTGACCCCTTGATTACAACTCATATGCACAGCTATGGTGACCCCTGACCTTTGCCACAGGTAGCAGTGCATTCTGTCAGCGCGCCTCTTTGCCACATGAATGCAGGCTGATTGTCCAGTGGGAGGTCCGTTCTTGGAGGGATCCGAGCGTTACGATTGGGTCCTGAGCCCTGTGGGCGGAGCCTCTCTGGTGGCCATCGATCAGATGCAGAGGAAGATGAGGAGGAAAATGGAGGCGAGGAGGCAGAAGACAACACAGGAGGAGGAGCAACAGGGTTCTCGACTGCCACTGAGACAGAACCTGAAATACAGAGATAAGCATGATGAGTCCTAGTGTGCTGCCTACCTAGAGCTAAACACTAAACAAATAAGATTGGCTGCAAAAATATAGTGATGCAACAGTAAAACCCTTGTGAAAAAGAAGTACACTTAAGTTTGCTTTTAAAAAGAGCACTGTTTAAGGAAATAATAAACAATATTATATATATATATATATATATATATATATATATATATATATATATATATATATATATATATATATATATACACTCGCCTAAAGGATTATTAGGAACACCATCCTAATACTGTGTTTGACCCCCTTTCGCCTTCAGAACTGCCTTAATTCTACGTGGCATTGATTCAACAAGGTGCTGAAAGCATTCTTTAGAAATGTTGGCCCATATTGATAGGATAACATCTTGCAATTGATGGAGATTTGTGGGATGCACATCCAGGGCACGAAGCTCCCGTTCCACCACATCCCAAAGATGCTCTATTGGGTTGAGATCTGGTGACTGTGGGGGCCATTTTAGTACAGTGAACTCATTATCATGTTCAAGAAACCAATTTGAAATGATTCGAGCTTTGTGACATGGTGCATTATCCTGCTGGAAGTAGCCATCAGAGAATGGGTACATGGTGGCCATAAAGGGATGGACATGGTCAGAAACAATGCTAAGGTAGGCCGTGGCATTTAAACGATGCCCAATTGGCACTAAGGGGCACTAATGCCATTTACCATTTACCATGTTCTCATTCTGTTTACGCCAAATTCTGACTCTACCATCTGAATGTCTCAACAGAAATCGAGACTCATCAGACCAGGCAACATTTTTCCAGTCTTCAACGGTCCAATTTTGGCGAGGTTTTGCTAATTGTAGCCTTTTTTTTCCTATTTGTAGTGGAGATGAGTGGTACCCGGTGGGGTCTTCTGCTGTTGTAGCCCATCCGCCTCAAGGTTGTGTGTGTTGTGGCTTCACAAATGCTTTGCTGCATACCTCGGTTGTAACGAGTGGTTATTTCTGTTAGGGTTCTGCAAGATATGGGACCCAGACGCAAATGAGCAGACAAGGTTTTTATTAACAGGACTGAAGACTTGAAACAGCAGGGAGTGAAGCGTGAATCACAGTAAAAACAGTAGGGCAAGGCAGACGACAACGACAGGCAGGATGGATGACCACTCAGACCGTCAGCTAGATGGCGATGACGTGAGTGCAATAGAGGCAGCTCTGAAGGAAAGACCAGGCAGGAACACTAGGAACATGCAGCTTGAAGTAGATCTCAGGTGTAGCTCCAGTCTTGCCACCAGGAAGAGGCTCACGAAACCAGAGGCTCGAAACAGGGGATAGGTGCACCAGTCAGGCAGCCAGGCAGTTGAGAGTCAGTGGCCAGGGAACTCAGGATACAGGACAGAAACACATAGAACAACATACAAGACGAGAAACACAAGACAAGACTCAAGACAAGACAAGATCAGGCAACAATTAAGATAAGTGAAACTAAACTGATAAGATCAATGAAAAGAGAAACAAAAAGTAGAGAAATAAATATATAGAAAGCAAACTAAATGAAAACTACTAAGACAACAAACTGGAGTAGCTAAAGAGAAAACTTCCACTTGACTGGGAAAATAAGAACTAAAGAAAACTAAAAATATAATTCTAAACAAAAGAACTCCAACTAGATTACCAAGCACAAGTGCTAAAGCTTAAGCAAAACAAAACAGTAACAATGATAACAAACCAGCGTAAGCACTAGGATAATTTCAAGATCACAAACTAGAAAACACTGCAATGTGCATACTCACAACGAACCAGCAAAGACATGAGGGAAAGAGGCACAATATGAAGGGACCAGAGCACATGAGGATCAGGTAAGCACAATTAATGAAACGAGGACAAGACGTGGACTAAACAAGGGGGCGTGGTAACGAGAAACAAGGAGGCAGGACATGAGGAGCACATGGCAAACACAGACCAAGACAGAGCCATGTGCTCAAACACAAGACAAACACAGAAACATGAAACCACAACAAAACAGACAAGGCTGCCAGGGCAGAACCTTGACAGTACCCCCCCTCTAATGGACGCCTCCAGGCGTCCACACTGGGCAAAGGGGGTACCAACAGGGAGGGAGGGAGGGAGGGAGGGAGGGAGGGAGGGAGGGCGGGCGAGGAACAAAACTTGGAGTTCCGGGGCTTCCAAGAAACGGAACTGGGAGGGAAGAAAATAATCCAGGGGAATAGTTTGAGGCAAACCAGGGAAATACTGGTTTAGAAAACACATAATGACCAGGTAATACAGAGGGTGGGATGGGAGGGGTAGGGACAGACTTAGTGGTCCTCCTGGGAAGATGAGCTTGCTCAAATGGTCGGGGCTTGAAAATGGCCTTGGTGTCAGAAACAGTCTTGGGGGTGAACTCTGGGGCCATTACAGACCTAGCAGGAAGGGTGCGTGTCAGGGGAATGGACTCAGGACATTCATGAAGGGTCCTTGACATGGACTCAGAAACGTCCTTCGTGGCTGGAAGGATATATACTGGACTTGACTCTGGGGTGCCCTCTGGGGCTGCTGAGACGCCTTCAGTGATAGACACTGGACTTGACTCTGGGATGCTCTCTGGGGCTGCAGCTGAGGCGCTTTCAGTGACAGACACTGGAACTTGCTCAGGGGCTGGAGCCGACACTGGAACTTGCTCAGGGGCTGGAGCCGACACTGGAACTTGCTCAGGGGCTGGAGCCGACACTGGAACTTGCTCAGGGGCTGGAACCACTTGATTTAAGACCTGCCGGACCAAAGCACTAGGGGCTTCTAAAAGTTCATTTGACTTGCCAACACGGGACGTCCTTTTCTTCCACTTCTGAGGGCAAGGCAATTTGTGCTCGACTGCCTCTGGACTGGTATCTTTGTCCAAGACAGATGAAACGAGCTGCTCTGGAACAAACTCTTCTGGGGTGACAGGAATAAGAGGTGGCTCTGGTAAAGTTTCATTGACAGTCTCTGATTCCTTCACTAGGCCAAAGACTACTGGTGAAGTGGGCAGCTTTGGATGTGGTTCCACCAGACTACGTGCTTCTGGGACCACTGGATATGGGACCATTGGAGTCGGGTCCTCCAGGACCACTGGACTTGTGACCTCCTGACTCTGGTCCTCCAAGACCATAGAGTTTAGAACCTCTTGATCCTGGTCCCCCTGGATCACTGGACTTGGGGCCTCCTGACACAGAACCAATGGGTCTAGGGGCTCCTGACAAGGAGTGTAAAACTGCACGGCATGGGCCGTCCTTGGCTTCAGCTTACAGGGGCACAACAATGCGCGATTGACCGCTTCTAAAGTGACTGCAGCGGCCGTAGCTGCCTCTGACGTGACTGCTGTTAACGGAGCGGGCTCTGGAAGGACTGTGACGGTCTCTGCAGGCTCTGGGGTGACTGTGACGGTCTCTGCAGGCTCTGGGGTGACTGTGACGGTCTCTGCAGGCTCTGGGGTGACTGTGACGGTCTCTGCAGGCTCTGGGGTGACTGTGACGGTCTCTGCAGGCTCTGGGGTGACTGTGACGGTCTCTGCAGGCTCTGGGGTGACTGTGACGGTCTCTGCAGGCTCTGGGGTGACTGTGACGGTCTCTGCAGGCTCTGGGGTGACTGTGACGGTCTCTGCAGGCTCTGGGGTGACTGTGTTAGGAAGGACTGTTTCCACCAAGTCAGTTGCAGAAACTGATGCAGCAGTCCGAGCTGCCCTCTTCCTTCTCAACCTTCGTTTTTCAGTTGGATTCAGAAGAGCTTGACTTGGAGGAAGGGTGAGGTGGTCACTACAGTCAGGCTCTGGTGGTGTCAGGATCTGCCAATCCTTACAGTGATGCAGGTAATTGGAGAAGTTCCAGAAGTCCAGGACTCTTAGTTGTTCCATCTCCCATTGAGGCAGGGAACTATCCAGGCAGTGGTTGAAAGCCACCTTCAGAGCCGCATCATCGTACTCAAGGCCCTTAGCCATAGTCCAGAAGAACTGGACAAAAGACCGCACATCTCGGCCCTGTTGGCGAAGCGATAACAACCCCTGCTGGAGTGCCAGTCTCTGTTGGGCAGTTGCGGGGGGAACTATACGGATGCTCATTGCTGGGTCCTGTGCTGGCTGGTTCGTTCTGTTAGGGTTCTGCAAGATATGGGACCCAGACGCAAATGAGCAGACAAGGTTTTTATTAACAGGACTGAAGACTTGAAACAGCAGGGAGTGAAGCGTGAATCACAGTAAAAACAGTAGGGCAAGGCAGACGACAACGACAGGCAGGATGGATGACCACTCAGACCGTCAACTAGATGGCGATGACGTGAGTGCAATAGAGGCAGCTCTGAAGGAAAGACCAGGCAGGAACACTAGGAACATGCAGCTTGAAGTAGATCTCAGGTGTAGCTCCAGTCTTGCCACCAGGAAGAGGCTCACGAAACCAGAGGCTCGACACAGGGGATAGGTGCACCAGTCAGGCAGCCAGGCAGTTGAGAGTCAGTGGCCAGGGAACTCAGGATACAGGACAGAAACACATAGAAAAACATACAAGACGAGAAACACAAGACAAGACTCAAGACAAGACAAGATCAGGCAACAATTAAGATAAGTGAAACTAAACTGATAAGATCAATGAAAAGAGAAACAAAAAGTAGAGAAATAAATATATAGAAAGCAAACTAAATGAAAACTACTAAGACAACAAACTGGAGTAGCTAAAGAGAAAACTTCCACTTGACTGGGAAAATAAGAACTAAAGAAAACTAAAAATATAATTCTAAACAAAAGAACTCCAACTAGATTACCAAGCACAAGTGCTAAAGCTTAAGCAAAACAAAACAGTAACAATGATAACAAACCAGCGTAAGCACTAGGATAATTTCAAGATCACAAACTAGAAAACACTGCAATGTGCATACTCACAACGAACCAGCAAAGACATGAGGGAAAGAGGCACAATATGAAGGGACCAGAGCACATGAGGATCAGGTGAGCACAATTAATGAAACGTGGACTAAACAAGGGGGCGTGGTAACGAGAAACAAGGAGGCAGGACATGAGGAGCACATGGCAAACACAGACCAAGACAGAGCCATGTGCTCAAACACAAGACAAACACAGAAACATGAAACCACAACAAAACAGACAAGGCTGCCAGGGCAGAACCTTGACAATTTCAGTCAAAGTTGCTCTTCTATCAGCTTGAATCAGTCGGCCCATTCTCCTCTGACCTCTAGCATCAACAAGGCATTTTCGCCCACAGGACTGCCGCATACTGGATGTTTTTCCCTTTTCACACCATTCTTTGTAAACCCTAAAAATGGTTGTGCGTGAAAATCCCAGTAACTGAGCAGATTGTGAAAAACTCAGACCGGCCCGTCTGCACCAACAACCATGCCACGCTCAAAATTGCTTAAATCACCTTTCTTTCCCATTCTGACATTCAGTTTGGAGTTCAGGAGATTGTCTTGACCAGGACCACACCCCTAAATGCATTGAAGCAACTGCCATGTAATTGGTTGATTAGATAATTGCATTAATGATAAATCGAACAGGTGTTCCTAATAATCCTTTAGGTGAGTGTATATAATATAATATAAAGGGCCCTATCATACACCCGGTGTAATGCAGCGCATGTTTTCTGCTAGTTTCAGCCTGATGCTGTTATCATTTCCACGTCCTGCGCCACGCTGTTTAAATAGCAAATACATTTGCACCTATTTGTTCGCCCATGGGCTGCTGGTCTGAAAACGAGGTGTGTTCAGGCGCATTGTTGGCGCTTTGCTATTTTGAGGCAACTGAAATAGACTGCACCATTGACCAACTGAAACCTGGTCTGAAGTCAATGGCGCAGTACATTTTTTGTTAATTAAAGAGCCTAGTAATAAACGCCTATAGGCGGGTCCACAACGCACGTACACTCTGCTTATTACACACACACACACGCACTCAGCAGCACACAAACATGCCAAATATAAAAAATTTAAGGATTACAATGTAAAAGATTATTATTGTGTACATAAAGATTTGGTGGAATCCGGCTTGTCCCATAGATGGTCTGCTTTAACCCCGCGCACGAGCAGATCCGATTGTTCAGTTTTTCCGCCATGCAAAATCCGCCATGTAAATAGCGAATCCGCTATGGCGCGAGCGCAACTGGCTTTTAAAGGGAATGGGAGATGAGACTCTGATTGGTTTATTTCACGTTACGCCCAAAACACACCCATTACTCATTAAGAGAATAGGGACAACCCTTTTAGACCATGCGCCTGACGCGCCGACCATTTTTCCCGCCCTTAAACTAGCAAAAGTGGATTCGAACACGACCTAAGTGCAATTGTGCCGTGCGCTTTAGACCATGCGCTTAGATAGTTAAAATAGGGCCCAAAGTGTGACTGACTAATGTTTTTGAACACTTAATTTGATTTTTTACTTCATTAATATTATCTGCAGGTAGAGTTTTTAAAAATATACTTCTAGGATTTGATGTAAACTACTGCATATTCAATACAATTAAGCACACTTCTTTTGCACAAGGGAAAGTTGCAACTAACTGAACAAGTATTGTACAAATTTGAAAAGGTAGTTAAGTACAGTATTTGCTTTACACTGGTTCATTTGCTTTGCAACAGTTGCTGTTTCATCAAACTCTTATTAAAAGTCTTGCTGCAAGTTGCTGGGTAGAGTTAAACCAGTCAGGAAGCTGTCTCAGAAGGTAACTGCCTGTATAGGCAGTAGACAGCAAGGCAGCACACTAAGTTTTAATTCCCAGCTGAAAAAAAATCAGCTTAAACCAGCCCGTGGTGTGCTGGAATTAGCTGGTTTAAGCTGATTTAGATGGTCTAGTCTGTTCCCAAGTTGCCAAAATAGTTTTTAGCAGAGTTGGCACAGATCTAAAGCCTGATTCATGCTTTTTGGTTCATGTCACACACTCTCACAGTGACCCCATTCTCATAAAAACTCTGTTCAACATCATCTGATGTTCCACACACACACACAATCATAGGCCCATTCTCCTATAATGACCTTAAAAGGTTTCACCGGTGGCCAATAAGTGATGAGAGAAATAAGAGAAGACTGCTCAAGTGAAATATATCTGCGTGGCACAGACATATAAACACTATAAATTTAGAGTGACATAGAAGATCATCAGGAGAGAAAAATAGAAACTGAGATGGCGAGTGAGAGAGAGAGAGAGAGAGAGAGAGAGAGAGAGAGAGAGAGAGAGAGAGAGAGAGAGAGAGAGAGAGAGAGAGAGAGAGATAAAGAGAGAAAGACTCTGTGTGACAAGACGACTGTAGGAAAACTCACTGATTTCTCGGAGAGCTGCCCGCCCTCGCTCCCTCTCTCTGTGTACTTCTCTCTCTCCGTCCCTCTGTTTCTCCACTGGGATGTAATATTCATAGTCTATGCCTGGATTCTGCCTGTGGAAAATAATCTACAGCGAGAGAGAGAAAGTAAAAACAGGTTAATAGACTCCAGCATATGGTAACGTCTCACTCCATGACCGCATTCCAGTTAGTATCGGCCGTATATCACTGATATAAACACACTCGAACACACTCCTACACACTCAGAACTATGTGGACGCTCTTTCTCTGAACATCTAAATGAACTTAAAGCTAAAGCATATGAATATGAACTATTATTCACTACATTCTTCCAAGACCAAATGATCAGAGCTGTGCTATTCATGATACGCTGTTACTGTAAGTCAACAAGAGACTCTTACTGACACCTAAACTAAAACAATACTGATACTTAAACTAGTATCACTACTTAAAATACGGATAATTAAAGTAGTGTGCTACCCCAGACAGCAACATAGTGTCGGCCCAGATCCGGGCCACATCAGGTACATGTGGATTCCACGCATACCAGATGTGGACCGGATCTGGGCCGACGCTATGTTACTGTCTGGGACCAAAACTACTGAAACCTAAACCAGACCAATACTAATACTTGAACTAGTATAATTAAACTACTCATACCTAACCTAGACCAATACTGACACATATACTATTATCACAACTTAAATACTGATTACTAAAACACTAATACCCTAGTGAAAAAAAAACGATACCAAAATGTATTTAAAATAAATTAATTTTTATATTAAGTATACTACAAATCCATTAACATATTTACTGACATATCACTTGAGACTTACTGATATAAATATTATAATCAAACTTTATTTGGAGTACTTATTTATTGCACAAATGCACACGTCTTATTTAACCTAAAAAAGTGTTTTAATATCACTACTAGTAACGATAGTATGATCTCTGCATTAAGTACAAAATGAGTTGTTCCATTTTAGCAGACTTAAAGTATACCAATTTTGTATACTAAAAGTACAATTGCACAAATACATGTAAATGTATTTGTATAAGACAAACACTGATATAGTATGACTACCAAAATTACTGACACCTAAACCAGAGCAATATTGATACCTAAACTAGTATCATTAAACTAGTCATACATAAACTAGTTCAATACTGATATTTATAACTAACCAAACACTGATAACTTAACCACCCAAAGATTTAGACGACCTAAACTACTGACACCCAAACTAGACAAATACTGATACTTAAACCAGTATCACTACTTAAATACTGATAATTAAACTAGTCAAACAATGATAACTATAGTATGACTACCAACACTACTACAACTATACTCCAATACTGATTCTTAAACTAGTATCATTAAACTAGTGATACCCAATCTAGACAACTACATACCTAAACTCTTATGACTATCCAAACTACTGACACTGAAACTAGACCAATACTAGTCATTAAAACTAGTATCAGTACTTAAATACTGTCTTGTATGCCAGTCTAATATGCAGAGAATCTATAAGTAAGACATTACGATTCTCCTGTGACTCAATGATGAAGAAAAACTGAACTAAATGAAGGCTTGTGTTTAATAGCAAATTTATTTTTTTGTGGCTAGTTTGAATTATAACAACCCTAGAGCAAGAAAAATCCTGTTTCCTGAGCCCTTTGAGGAGAACAATAGAGCTCCTAATGAGTTCAGAAGTGTTATGCTCATTTAATATCATCATTAATCGACACAATAGGCATGTATTAACAGAGCGACAGCTCATTCCTTCCATCCACTCCTGCAGCAAATCCTCCCAGATTGGAGTTTGTGCTCCATCACACTCCAGCCAGACCCGTCTACCTCTTTCCACATTACTGTAATATGAACACATGTGTGTGCACTTACGTATAGCTGCAGCTGGGCAGTTGTGGGTCCAGGCGCTGTGAGGGTCTCTCCTCTCTCCTCTCCCTGCTCGTGTGGGCCAGCTTTGGGTCGGCTGTAGAGGAAGGTGGTTCCTCCTGTCTGATACTCTCCCGGCGGGTCGACCGCCCAGCGTCCGTTCACCACAGACTGACCCGTTCCACTGCGCAGGGCTGCACACACAAACACAGCAGGACACAAGCTGTGGTCACACATTTACACATGCAGTAATGATATATGAGGTACTCGCATTCACAACATTCACACACACACACACAAAAAAAATATTCTAGCTGTTTGCTCAGTTTGTTTAAATAAAATAAGTTCAAACAACACAAATCTTTAGTTTTTTTTACTAAATTGTCATTTGCAAATTTTTATTACGTTAAATGAAATGAAATTTGTAAAATGTTAAGTTAACAAACTATTTGTGTTGGGACTACATGAATCATTTGTGTTGCATTGACTGAATGTTTCTAGTTCCCAGCATGCTTTGCATATGGATAGATCAGGAGAGTAAATGTTGAAATTAAGTGCTATTTAATGTGTTTTTTAATAAAGTGAAAGACCTGTTAAAGTTTGATGTTCGGTTATATTTGAATTTTAAAAGAGTTGATGTTATTTCGATTTTTGAGGTTACCATTTTGCATAAAGCTATGTTGTTCTCAGTGAGCTGTAACTGTGCTAATGCCAGTGATGAGAAAAGTTTTACTTGATCATAACTTGCATGTTACAAAAGTCACACTTGGCATATGAACAGGTGTTGCTTTGGCTTTTCGTTTTTTGTAGAAATAAATAAAATAAATAAGTTTAAGATCTAGCACATCATTTACACAGTTTACTTGTGGTCACCAGTTCTACCCCTCTCAATTAAACATTCATGAACATGTATGTGTGCACGACAACCGAAGCACAAGCTCAACTCTTCACCACAATGGTAACCAAAAATGTGTATAAATAAAATAAAATAGTATTATTATTTCATGTTCTACAAACTCTTTTAAATGTTCAAAATAACTAAACATTAAACACTTACACTCTAACAAGTCTTAAAAACAGAAAACTCTGCACAGCAACAGCACTGGTTGGCTCAACAAGAGTGAATTATGTTCAGGAAACATTCACAGAATACGTCAAATGAAATTGGTGTGATCTCATTCACTTAGGATGAATTTTACTCAGTGCAATTAACCTAGTTTAAGTTCAAATAAATTAGTTCAACCGTGTGGAAATAGGTGTCATTTCTGTCAGGACCACTATCGTCAAATACGATTGACAATTAGCATACAGTTTGGATTGGCGGTATTGTTCCGTTCGGTATTGTTCCGTTCTGTTCATGCAGCCTAGCATGGATAAGAGCAGCGATAACCCTCCTTATGGTGTGTTCACACCGAACGCGAATTTAATTATTTGCGCTAATGGATTACATACAAAGTCAAAGCAAAAACGCGAATAGACGCATCATTCGCGCCGGGCGTTGCGAATGACGCGAATTGGGCGACGCGTTTGCCGCGAATATCTTCCGCGCAAGTTGAAAATGTTGAACTCGAGCGAATGTTCAAGCGTCTAACTAGACGCGATAGACGCGTATTTGACGCTCTATTCGCGTTCGGTGTGAACCCACCATTAGGGTAAACAGAACAGAACCATGAATGTATTGCAGATATCATTAATTCAAGATTTTAAAATACAACATAATTCAAGAATTTATTCAGAATGCCAAATGCTGACTGGGCGAGAGGAGGAGCTACTGAGAAATGCGATAGCTGCTGATAATACTGAAGGAGCTTATATATACAGTGACAGGCGTCGTATTCCTATAGGTAGACGTGGATCAGCTGATGCGAGCTTGACTAACGTGACCTGCCAGAACTGACGCTACTCTTGATGATCTATTAAGTTAGACCAACAAGCTATTTTTTTGAGTGCAGCTTTATTTTCTTTCTTGGAAGTTTTTTTTAAAGATTCATCCGACAGTCATTATTTGTTTGTGGAGCGTGTGGAAGTCTGTTTTTAGCTGTCTGTAATTACAGATCTCAGTTCTGCTTGTGATGACCGTTTTACGAGTTTCCTACCATAATCACACATCACATGCAACTAAGAATTCTCCTCCATGAAAAGTTCATAGCAAAAGTGTCAAAGACAGAGGAATGAAAAGAAGAGGATGTAGCACAGATATCAGAAAACTAAAATTACTAAGCAAATGTGTATGGCACCACCCATGAGACATATATCTAATAATGAGTTATCTTTCATATCTTAAAGGGATACTCCACCGTTTTTTTTCATATTAAACTATGTTATTCCCTTAACTAAGATGAGTTGATACATACCTCTCTCGTCTCAGTGCGCGCACTAAATCGCTCTGGCTTGCGGCGAAACTTTGTTAGCACTTAGCTTAGCCCAGTTCATTCATTAGGATCCAAACAGAGAAGCGACCAAACACCTCCACGTTTTCCCTATTTAAATACAGTTACACGAGTAGTGTAACTCAACCAAGAATGGTGACACAAAAATAAAACGTGGTGCTTTTCTAAGCGTGTAAAATGGATAACTATAATGTATGGCAATAACTATAATGTATGGTTGGTCGGTTCTCTGTTTGGATCCTAATGAATGAACTGGGCTAAGCTGGGCTAAGCTAAGCTAAGTGCTGACAAAGTTTCGCCGCAAGACAGAGCCATTGAGTGCGCGCACTGAGACGAGAGAGGTATGTATCAACTCGTCTTAGTTAAGGGAATAACATAGTTTAATATGAAAAAACGTTGGAGTATCCCTTTAAGTGTTTCTCCTCATACTGCTTTAAGAGTAAACGTAGATCTCAAAAGGTTTCAAAATGTGCACAATATTGCCAAGACACTGACGATGGCAATCACATAAACTCCTCATTATTCATCAAAATCTTTCAAGACCAAATAATCAGAGTTGTGCTATCCATGATACGCTGTGACTGTGTGTCAACAATTGACTCCTATTGACACTTAAACAAGACTGATACCGATACTTAAACTAGTATGACTACCCAAACCACTTCTTAAAATACTAACCAGACAAACACTAATAAAGTAGTAAGACAAAAAACTAAAAATACTGACACCTAAACTAGACAAATACTGATCCTTAATGTAGTATGACTACTCAAACCACTCTAAACTTGACCAATACTGATCCTTAAACTAGCATCACTAGTTAAAATACTGATTTGAAGCATTATAACAACCAAAACTATTGACACCTAAACTAGACCAATATTGATACTTAGACTAGGATCATTAAACTAGAGATATCTGAACTAGACAAATATTGATATAAACTAGTATGGTTAGTTAAAACTAATGACACCTAAACTAGACCAATGCTGATACTTAATACAATACTTAAAATACTATTATCACTACTTATACTGAAAATTAAACCAGACTACAGCCTCTAAAACAGTCCAAAACTGATGCTTAAACTAGTTTCATTAAACTACTGACACCAAAACTAGACAAATAGTGAAACTTAAAGTAGTCTCACTGGTTAAAATACTGATAATTAAACCAAAAAAACACTCAAACTTTGTCTAAAGTAGTCTGACAACACCTAAACAAGTCTCTGCAATGATGCTGGAGAGTTGGAGGTGGTTTCCAGGGCATTGCTGAACACATGTCTGGATCACAAACACTATAGGACGACCCACACACTGAACTTTAATACACAGTGTTAGAGGAAATATAAACAATAATAACAGTGATAGTTAACACCTCCTGAGCTCTGAAAGAGCAACCTCTAAACAATAAAACTGGGGCAGACGGAATCACAGAGAGACACAGGAGAAAGAAAAGCAAAAGCCAAAAAAAGGATGTCAGAAAGAGAAAAAATATGATTTCTCACGTAACGTAGTGTTTTGTCTACTACAGAAGTCTGCCTTCAGGGCACAATCACAGAAGCCAAACAAACACAGACATGTCCATGACTGTGACTCAGGGTCATATTCTTTTAAGAAAACATGCCTGTATTACCTAACACATCCCAGAGAGATCCCCCACATATATATATATAAAAAACATAATCTGTGAATCCAGGCATTCCTGAGTCGTGTCCAGGCTAATGAACAGCATATCAACATCCCTCTCAGGACAATGACTCATTCCTGCCCCAAAACGCACCACGTGCTGAAACAATGGGACATTATCATCTACAGACACTGAATTTAGGCTTACACGCTCTAGTCTAGGGGCTCTATTTTAACGACCTGAAACGCAAGTATCAAACACGAAACGGAAGTAACTTTGTGGGCGGATCCCATCTAAAATGGGTTGGTCTGAAGTAGCTACATTACTCATAGGTGTGGTTTGGGTGTAACGTGCTATAAACCAATCCGAGCGTCACCTCACATTCCCTTTAAAGCAACACATAAGTAAGATAATGTTTCCAAAATCGTTTCAGTGGTTCATCAATTCGTAACAGGGTGAAAGGCACTTCTGGATTCGCTTTGCGGTCCTATATCTACTATAACCACGTTATGTAAGATTGCCAGATCGGGCCGAGTTTCTGTAGTTCTAATGAGACCTAAGAAAACTACAAATTTAACTTGCTTTACGTCAAGCGTTCCAATAGTCATTATTTTGTTTTTCTTCGTTTCTGATGTCGCAATACATCATACTTTCATGAAATCATGCAACATACTCTACCTTGTCTTTGGACATCGTTCATTCCAAAGCCGGTGCTGGATAAACAACGAGCGTGCGACAGTAGGTTGCGGTAGGCTAAATAATTTACGACAGCGGTAATAGACAATTCCGCTTCCAACCTGTAGGGCGACCGCAGAGGAAAAGTTACTTGGTGTTGCTTTAAAAGCAGGTGCGCTTGTTCCATGGTGGATTGCTATTATAATGGCGGATTTGGCAGGCGCACGCCAGGAGCGGTTCACAGCCGAGGAGACCGACGTTCTCGTCAGGGCCGTAAAAGACAGAGAAGTGACATTGTATGGGGACGGGAGAAACCCACCCAAATTAGCTTCAGTTAAACAGGCGTATAATAATTTGGGTAAATGTGTAAGCTAGATTTTTGCCTATTTTTTTCACATCTTCATGGACAACATAATGATTTCCCTCGTGTGGTAATATTTTTTATGGTTTGCAAAAATGGGAACTGCTGCGTCTGTGTATGACAGAAGCAAAGTGTATGCGTGTTGTGCACACGCTACATTATGGCCATGCATGCGCCCATAAAACAGCATCTGAACAACGCGCCACTGACTTAGACTAGGTTTTTTCTGGTCTGTGGAGGAATTGTTTTCTGAAACTGCAAAATAGCTCCAGGGAATGTTAGCGCTGGAACACGCCTCCTCTTTTCGCTGAACCGCCCCCAGGAGCGCAAGTTCATTCCCTAATTTACAGACGTGTGTCTGTGGAGGGAAAAGTCCGCTGTGCGTCGGGTGCAAAATAGGAATGATACATGCGTCGTGTACAAACTCAATTGCGCTGGGTGCAAGATAGGGCCCTTTATCTCTAAGGTGATCAACTGCAGCTGTATCGCTCTGCTAATGATCTGTTGTTTAGAAGCCGAACGTTTGGCTAGAGGTCTGAGCTTAGCTTGGGTCACTAAACCAAGGAACAATGACCAATTCACACACTAATCTCACACCAGCAGGTAGAAACATACACTGACATGTTATGTGTAAGCAAGTACATGCATTCACAGTCACACACACATGCACACGTTCATGAATGTGATGTTTTATGTCAGGAAGAACTCCCATCATACTGCAAAAACTGCTTTTCCTACTTAGTATTTTTGTCTGGTTTCCAGTCCAAATATATATAAAAAACCTTAAATCAAGATGCAATTACTAAAATAGTAAAATGGCAGAAGATATTATGTCTCGTCTTTTGGGGGAATTTTTTTTTTGGTGAAAAACACCAATTTTCTTCTTCAATTCAATTTGTTTCTGATTGAATTAAGATTATTTTTAAGTAAGAAAAACTATTCTGCCCTGCAAATGCAAAATGCAGTAACTACAAATCATGACACATGCATTTGGTTTAGCTCTACTCAGAATGGATTGTGAAATTCAAATCAAATCAGTCCAAACTCTTTAAAATCAGTTCCAATGTTCATGTAGTTCCTGCATTTGTCTTTGTAGGGCAATATTTCACAAAAATGTTGAAATAAGATATAAGTTATTTCCTTTATGAAGCTGTTTTCCACTACGTAGGTTCGCACAATGAACGTTTTTCAGGTTTTATTATTGTAGGGTCATTCGGTCACCATAAGGAAAGACAAACAGAACATAAATGACCACACACACACACACACGCACACACGCTTGTATCTCTGTTATGTTAGGGACTTTCCATTTTATAAGGAGATAATGATTTTTCATCAAAGGGCCTATTATGCCCCTTTACAAAGGCTTGATTTCGTTTTTGGGCTCTACTAGATTAGGTTTTAGAATAGGCTTGAATGTTCAAATTATTATACATAATTTTTTCACATATTTGTAATTGTTGCAGCACCTCTCTTCCCAGTCTGCCAGTAACACTCTGTTTAGTTCCTGTCTCTATGAAATCCCCTCCTTCCAAACAGGGCAATGTGATTGGTCGGCTGGACCAGTGTATTGTGAATGGTCAACCACTTAGAGCATGTTTGGGATATGTCCCGCGCCTTATCATAACCACGAATTTCACACACTACTAACTCAACTCAACCAGGCCCCGCCCCATTTTTTTGTATGCCTTAAATGAGGAATATTGTGCTGTGTTTGTTGACGTTAGAAAACTCAAGACTATAATGGAGGGGTTTCAGGGAGGTCAGAAACAGTGACACTTATATAGAGAAAATCCCCCTTTGGAGCGCTTAATGCTCAAACAGCAACATTACACACTAAAGAAAGTTAAAAATATAAAAAAGCATAAAAGTAATCCTTTAAGACCTTATATAAGCAACTTCGTCATGGGGACTTTTTAGGGTCTGCTTCCCACAGTTTAGCTGATTTTAGGTTTTACTATCCGTAGAGCAGATATTTGGTCCAAACTTGACCCACACACACAGAGATAGTTCGTACCCAGATAGTTTGGACTGGCTCGTCTCTCCGTGATGTTGATAGCTGTGGCTCCGGGAGGGATATCCAAGATTTTGTGGTAACCCAGAGGAAAGCTGGTGTTCAGGAAACTTCCCGTGATCCTCTCGCAGGTGCCGTCTCCACCGCCACACACACCACAGCGATCCCGAACCAACCCTGAGCCCAACACACCGTCACAGCCCTCACTCTGACAGAGGAAAGAAATATAAATTTCATTAATAATAAAGTAAGATATGAATGCATGAGGATGACAAGATCAGACAACTTCAGAATCTATCCTCGGGAAAAAGAAGTACTGAATGTGCACTTGTATTAGTCCTTCAAATCTTAAAAAATATATTTTTTTAAAAACTGTAATTACAGATAGTTTCATTATTTTAACGAAATAAAAGGTAAATTAAGTGTATTTGAAGAGAGTACTATGACTGTTTCTTAACACACTTAAGTACACTTTTAAAAAGTGCACTTAGTATTAATTTCAAAATAAGAAAGTTTACTTTGAAATCATTGTTTTAATATTCTTTAATGTGTTGACTAACATCAGGCACACGTACTTGATTATAGTTGTAACTGTTATATTTAAAGTTCATATATTTAGAATGTACTAAATTGTAACTTCACCATTATAAATGTGTAATTAGAAATATGTTTAAAAGCATAAAATACAAGTTTCAAAAGAAATGACAAACTGTATTTTAGTTGATCATAGATGCTTGTCAGTGTATTCGGCAGTACACGTTAACCATATTTCAAAATAATTCTGATATAACATATAAAGATCTACTTAAGTGGGTCAAAAAAGCACTCTTAGGTTTTTTTAGATAAACGTAATATAAATTTAAGCTACAATACATTTTCATTTAATTGTAAATTACATCCAATTAAGTTTCCGAAAATATCACATTCAACATACTTTCTTTGAATGTATACTATGTCTTTTTAAAACTATGCTAAAGTGTAATTCTTTTTCACAAGGTTAGATCTACATATCTCACAATTCCAAGAAAAAAAAAACATTTGGCAGATTCAGACTTTGAATTGAATCTCTGAGGGCGTCCATGAACAGATGATGATGTTACTATCATTTTTGTGCTTTCTATCACTTTTGTGTTTTCTCACCAGACAGCGTCCTCCCACACACACATCATTGGGTGTGTTGTTTGCGCATGGCGTTCCATCTCGTACCCTCTCCGCCTGCCGCACGTAGAAACGGTACCCGACCGGCCGACAGGTCAACTCGCACTGCTGCTCTAGACCCACTGCCAGAGGAAAAAACAGACAAAAACGTTACTTCACATTAGATTTATTACGTCATAACAGTTTTTCCTTATACTTCACATAACTATTGTACTTTATTAGGTGTCAGTCTTTGTATAAGACGATGATGTTTATGACATTAATAACTCCCAGCTCCCAAGCCCAACCAAACCATTTATTGAAAATAAGCTGCAAAAATATTGTATATTGTAATCACAACCATGAGCTTATTAACAGATATGTTTTTCACATATAACATTTCAGTATTTGACAGCTATGCTGGGGTCACTTTATTTGCAAATAGGTTAGCTAATTGTAACAAACCTCATCTTCAAATAGAAGTATTAAAGGTGCAGTACACCCTTCCTACTATCAAGGGTCAGAGATAAAGTGGAAAACGGTCATTTGGTGAGTTTATGGGTCACATGAGTGGACGCCAGTGTTGTTATTGTTAACTAAAACTATTAAAAAGTGAAATAATGCTAAAATAAAACAAAATACAAATATTCAACGAGAAATGTAGCAGCAGATGTTGAAGTACTTAAATGACTAAAAGTAAAACTGAAATAACATAAAAAAATAAATAAAAGTGACAAAAGCACACAACAGCGATTTCAAAATATGAATAACCGACTATAATCATATAAATTATATAAAAATAACGCTGATGGATGTAAACAGTTAATAAACAGTTCCATGAAAAAGTACAATATCTACTTTCATAAATGCTTAATCATCATGGATCCTTCTGCCCTCACGAATGAAACTCTTTCTGGAAACTGCTTGTTTTTTCCCGTTGTATCTGTCCTCTTTATGAACCTAGTTAAATCCCTCGGGTGCGGATGCAAGATGCTTCAGTCTCTCTCTTTCACAAACACAACACAGTCCTGAGCTATTAATAACAGCCAATCAATGTCATGATCAAACCCTCCATCACAAACACAGGAAACAGTCATTATTACTGGTGTTTACTAACACATATATAACACACACTTGAAACTTGCCAATTAAGGATTTTATCTGTTTATCTGGAAATCACAATTATAACATTCCCTGATGCCTCCTGGCTTTGTGACTGTGGGAACCCTGTGCATATCACACAGACATGATTGGGACCAGGTACCACCAGCACCTTCTACAGTACACGCAAGCATAGTCAGAAACTGCAACTTCAGCATCAGCTGAACAAAAACAGGCACAAGCTTATCAGTCCATCCTTAAAGGTCATTGATCCGTTTTTCTATTTTCCGTCTCAGCTGGCCGACGGTCCGTTCACTTGATGCACACAAAGAGTACTTTCATTATCTGGCTAAATCAAATCAGATTGGCTGATGTTTGCCAGTAATAACACACAGGGTTTTTGTCAATCTGCACTGTAATAAAGATACATAAAATCAGTACAAGAAAAATGTACTAGTAATATTCAGTCAGGACATTATTCGTTAAACGAAATCAAGTCCAGCCCTACATTTATACCAGAACAGCCGTTTTACTCAGATATACGTCACAATAGGGGGAAAAAAGAATATTGTAACACTTTACTTGAAGGGGTGTACATAAGACTGACATGACACCTTCATAACCATGACATGACATATGTCATGAATATGAAGTAGGGTTTATGCATGTTTATGACAACTGTCATAAAGTGTCTTTCGCTCAATAATGACATTTTGAATGCAAATATGACATTGTTTAAGATGTCTTTGTTATGACACCTTGACATAAACCATAACATCATAACCTGTCAGTGTCTTTGTCATTACAACTTGACATTAAATTAAGTTAAACTGTCATGTGGTTGGTTTTGACATTGGCTGTCATAAGGCCATTATAACTGTGTCAAAAATATTTTTCGTGACCTCAACTACAGTGGTACAAATTGAATTTGTCATTAAACCGTTATAATGGCTTCATGACAGCCAATGTCAAAACCAACCACCTGACAGTTCAATGTAATGTTAACCAATAAAGCTAAGTGGTTCCTTAAGTTTGATAGTTAATCTGCTATGTCATGTTTATGACAGGTTGTGTTGTCTTAGTAATGTCAAGTTGTAATGACAAAGACACTGACAGGTTATGATGTATTGGTTTATGTCAAGGTGTCATAACAAAGACATCTCAAACAATGTCATATTTGCATTAAAAATGTCATAATTGAGCGAATGACACTTAATGACAGTTGTCACAAACATGCATAAAACTTCCTTCATATTCATAACATGTGTATGAAGGTGTCATGTTAGTCTTATGCACACCCCTTCAAGTAAAGTGTTACCCAACTTTCAACCTAAAACACAATACAATTCAATGTGTCATTCAAAATATAGGGGAAAACACCAGTGAGAAATGTATATGGAAAATAACACAGACTTTTCCTATAACAAAGTTGTGTTTACTTGATTCAGGCCCCGTCCACACTACTGCGTTTTCGTTTAAAAACGGAGAATTAAAACGAATATGATCTCTGTCCACACCAGCGTTTTATCTGCGTATTAGAATTGATCTCCGTTCACATTAAAACGCCCTGAAAACGCGGATCATGTGACCATTCACCAACACTGGGCATGCGCGTGCCGGTGTAAACAGGAAACGGATTGACATGTGATGGGTGGCTGACGAATCAGGGAAGGATACGTCATGACTGATGACACCCAATCATAGAGCCGAGCGTGAGCCTCTGCGTCATCGTTTCTAAAGTCCTCCGTTTTGACCCGTCTTCACTAAAACGCCCTCCGGAGATTCAAAACGCAAAGCGGAGCTGCAGCGTTTCTAAACATCTCCGTTTTAGGTCTTCGTTTTAGTCTGGACGGGAGGTGCAAACGTAGCAAAAGGTCTCCGTTTTTAAACGAAAACGCAGTAGTGTGGACGGGGCCTCAGTGAATAACTATCACTGGACAAAGTTTAGTGAGTTACATCAAGGGCCAGATTAACTTAAAGCTTGCGCCACCACAAACCCTCTTTTGGCATTAAAAACCGTCTCAGGTTATGACTATAACCATTGCTCCCTATCAAGGGAACTCACACTGCGTCGGAAGTAGTGACGCTATGTCAGGGCAAATCAGCGTCTCGTTCCCTCGAAAGGGGACGTCTCAGGTTACGACTGTAACCATTGTTCCCTGAGACGCTGCGTTGCCCTGACATAGCGTCACTACTTCCGACGCAGCGCGAGTTCCCTCGAAAGTGAACGACTGTCAGGATTTACTAAACACATGCTGCTCTTGGTAGACTGTGTAGTAGGGCATAATGGAAATCATCTGGCTGCGTCTGTGTTATTTAATTTGCCCATTGTCAATAGATCACCTGCAGAACTTTCCATCTGCAATTTTATGAATCAGCCACTAACTGCCCAAGCGAACGCTCCACTCATCCAACATGAAATTTATCTATGTCTTTCTGTTTGTAATAACATCTGGAATAAGTGTCTCCTAGGGAAATATTACAGCTTCTCTCCCGCTCTCACGCTAATTTGCCTTGTTTAGTAAATCTCGCTCCAAATCTACGAAAGCGTTTTGCATGCAAGTACACTAGATCTTCACAAGCAGAATCATATAGTTATTTTTGGTCGTTACACATTCTCTGCTCATTATTTAAATACATTTATGCTGGACTATTATTGTGCCACGATCTGATTTCAGATAACCCCGCCCCTAAACAGCACGTAAACACAAAACAAACGGTGGTTGGTTCCTTTACATGTCAGTCAGATTAGTTCTCTTCCAGTCTAAGTGGGAGGTTCTTATCCATAAAAGACTGGAATGTGGACCAGACTTTACGCTGATAGTCAAAGGTCGGGTTACGTGAGACTCTCGCTGTCTGTCTATCAGAATCAGCTGACACTGACAAAAGAGCGAGAGATTCCAAGCCCGTCTTTTCCCATTCCGTCACAGTTATCTTTGAGAGATTATGGTGGAGACAATGGGAGAGAGAGAGAAACAGAGAGAGAGAGAGAAAAATGCACAAGAAATAAAAGTTAAAAAAAGCTACAAAGAGTGGACAAAAATGTCAATTTTAAAGAGGGGCAAAAGCTAAAGTGTAGAAGATTTATCTTCATCGCACTCTTTTTCTTGCTCGGCCTCTCTCTCTATCTATCTCTCTCTCTCTCTCTCTCTCTCTGGTGTGCAGACAGTGGAGTCTATTCAGACTAAATATACTTCCCCACTATCTCTGTCTCTAAACAAACTCAGAGAGAGAACCAGTGCACGAGACAGGAAGACAAGAGAAAGAAAGAACAGCACAGGATGAGAGAGGAATCTGTTCAGGGAAAGAGGGATATACAGAAAGACCAAAAGAAAGAAGTGGAATGCCAGAAGGAGAGCGTGTGCGCGAGACACAGTGACCCTGAAAACGGGACATTTAAGCCTCACTCACACTGAAAAAAAATCTAAATTAACAAGCTATCTCAAGTCCCAAATATAATTTAACATCACAGAATCAACCTAAATACATTCATTAATGCAAACAAAATGTATTTTTATGGGTTAAAACAGGTAGAAATGGCTCTGCAGGTTGCCAATTTGTTCAGTTTGAAATGATAAAACAATGGTTACACTTTATGTACTGACAAAAAAACTTACATTTTTTCATTTTGGGTGAACTGTACACAATACATATTGTTGCATTTTTGTATTGCGATATACACTCACCGGCCACTTTATTAGGTACACCTGTCCAACTGCTCGTTAACACTTAATTTCTAAGCAGCCAATCACATGGCGGCAACTCAGTGCATTTAGGCATGTAGACATGGTCAAGACAATCTCCTGCAGTTCAAACCGAGCTTCAGTATGGGGAAGAAAGTTGATTTGAGTGACTTTGAACGTGGCATGATTGTTGGTGCCAGAAGGGCTGGTCTGAGTATTTCAGAAACTGCTAATCTACTGGGATTTTCACGCACAACCATCTCTAGGGTTTACAGAGAATGGTCCGAAAAAGAAAAAACATCCAGTGAGCGGCAGTTCTGTGGGCGGAAATGCCTTGGTCAATGAAAATGGTCAGAGGA